TAGAAACTTAAAAATCAAAAATGACCAGCAAGACAAGATCTACAATTAAGACAACATAGTGGAAATCGTCCTACGACTCCTTATTGGAGTTATTGCCCTTTAATGACGATTTTTACCATTTTTATTTTGTGCTTTGCCTTCTATCATAAAATTATAAGAGATAAGTAGACACTTCAAATCACAAAAATTATCAGTAAGGCAAGATCTACTAACAAGTCAAATTTAGCCTACCGTATATAGTTAGCAGACTATCAGTCTTTTATATAGGAGTGATTGCCCTAAAATGATTACTTATTTTACCCTCTTTTTTTGTTTTCAGCAAAAACTAAAGAAGATAGAGAGAAACTAAACAGACTAAATGGTCAGCAATACAAGGTCAACAAAACAGAGTTTTTGTCATGAATTATAGTCTTGTCTACAATGTCGAGAGTGTCCTTTGTTGAATTTGCACATATACCAAGATGAGCGCCACAGGCTCTGTAGCGCCTCTAGTTTCTTTCCCATTCTTTCCTGAAGTCTCCGTCCTGTCATTTTCCATCTCCACCATCGTTATACATGACGTTCCGGTTATCTGAAGTGTTTGCTTTATATTTTTCTTTGCACTATTGTCCTTTGTTTTCTGTCATAGTTTCGTTTTGTATTTTATTGCTTTCATCTGTCTTGATGTTGTTCTGTAATTGTCTAGCACGCCTGTACTTTATATTGTTTTGTTGTTGCTTTCTTACTTGGTAAACATGCAACAGAGAGGCGAAAGATACCAAACGGATATTCAAGCTCATCAAGTCAAAAATAAATTGACAACGCCATGGCTAACAAAAGAAAAAGACCAACAGACAAATAACAGTACACAAAACATAACATAGAAAACTAAAGACTAAGCAACACAACCCTAACAAAAAAACTGGGGGGTGATCTCAGGTGTTCCGAAAGGGTAAGTAGATCCTGCTCCACATGTGACACCCGTCGTGTTGCTCATGTGTGTACAATCCGGTGATAAGTGTTATTCAGTAGGTCACATTCGGGGAAAAGGGGATGAGATTGTAATTACGAAAATTGGAACATATCCGTCGTAATCTGTTAAACAGACATTCCATAACGGTCAACAAACTTGTGATGGCGTCCGTAAAATTAACAAAGGGGTGATTTAAACTTTACCACTTCGAACTCTTGGTTTAATAGCTTCCTTGTAAGCAGCAACTCTCCATCACTGAAATTATGATAAGAAATAGATACCCTGGAATATCGTATCAACTGGGAGATATGTACTCCGTATTCTGCCGCTGCTGGAATGTTGTTACATAGAAATGGAAAGTTCACAATTGGGATGCTGAAATCATCTCTTTTGTCGTAAAGTTTTGTTTTCAACCGACCCTCATTGTCAATTTCTAGATGTAAGTCAAGATATGTATATGTTGTATCATTTATCTCAAGTTTGATGGGATAGATGCGTTCAACATAGTCACCAAATTTTGAATTATTTAGTGAGAGAAAATCATCTATATAGCGGAAAGTAAAGTTAAAGGATACTGCTAACTTCATTTTTCTTCTTCCTAAGAAGTTCCTGTATGAAGTCAGCCTTATATGAATAAAGGAACAAATCGGCAAGAAGAGGGGCACAGTTGGTTTCCATGGGAATGCCGAGTGTTTGTTGAAAAGTGTATGCACAATATTGGCTACCTTCTAACAAATACTCAGTAGCATAGTCAAGCAATTTACCGTTTAACGTTTAAAAATATGTTATCAATTTAAATTTAAAATCTAGTGTCACTTATAAGCTAATTCACAATCATGTTGTAGGTTTGTTTGATATAGATTGAGATTAGATTGAAAACATATTATTAAACTGATTTGTAAAACAGGTTTCACAATGTTTATATCATACTGTCCCTACTTTTGATTTGATTTTCTCTGCTTAACTATTGATGCCGCCGCCCAAAGGAAGGTAGTACCTTAGATAATAATGATTTCATTGTTCATCTAGCAATCAAGCAAACCAAAGATACTAACTTTACCTACACATGTAAACTCAAGTCCATGTGCTGTAATACAAAACGACAGAAACGATTATGGACGAGTTCTTTGTCATTGGCTCGATGAAATCCCAAAATTTCAAACGATTATATAAGTATAGAGGCCACCATATACTGTTGAACAATAAACATGCTTGAATGTTCAATATAAACTCGATTGAGAGTGTCAAGTAAGGAAGAAAGTGTCCTTAATTGCTCATTGTTGAGAAATCCTTTTCTGTGAGTGCAAGAACTGTCTATTGAAATTTAGCAACATGCCTAAGCAGATATATGAATTTACAATTTTCAGCTCCTGGTTGTCAAAGAAAAAGCGGTTGCCAACCATTTCTGAAAACGGCAATTTTGTCTTGTCAGTATTAAACAGTTATATTCCATTTTTTTTACAATAAAATGAAAGTTTTTCCGGTAAGACTTGTAATGTTTCTGCCGATTTCCGAACAGGAAAACAATTATCATAGATCCAACATAGAATAAGAATAGATGCTGTATGATCACTACAATTCTTTTGATTATCACCGTTTTTCCGTGTTCATGGCTTTAACACTTTCTACTGGGTATAGCTTTGAAATCATGCATATATGTTGTGATGTTACACTATTGTTTCAGGTAGGGTAAAGGTTGGCGCCTATTAAAACGTTTAAACCCGCTGCATTTGTTTGCACCTGTCCTAAGTCAGGAACCTGATGTTCAGTGGTTGTCGTTTGTTGATGTGGTTCATTAGTGTTTCTCGTTTCTCGTTTTTTATATAGATTAGACCGTTGGTTTTCCTGTTTGAATGGGTTTTACACTAGTCATTTTTGGGGCCCTTTATAGCTTGCTGTTCGGTGTGAGCCAAGGCTCCGTGTTGAAGGCCGTACTTTGACCTATAATGGTTTCTTTTACAAATTGTGACTTGGATGGAGAGTTGTCTCATTGGCACTCATACAACATCTTCTTATATTTATATAAGAGATGATGGGTGTGTAGCAGGAGTTGATTGCCATGTCACGGCGACACACCTTGTATTCGCTTAACAGATTTGTCTTTTTATAACTGGACGCATTATGTATTTAGGCATCGACCATTAATCTTTTTTGGGGAAAAGGGGAGTAGATTTTTTTAGGGACAAACATTTTTTTTTCAAGTTCAATTTAAAAAAAAACTACACCATGTAACATGGTCATGATCGGTCATATGTTTACAGCTAGGTACAAGATTTTTTTTCAATCATTAATGTGTTATGCTTTTATTTTTATTTTCTTTAATCTGCATATATTTGTTTTTTATATGTATAGACTAGACCGTTGGTTTTCCTGTTTGAATGGTTTTACACTAGTCATTTTGGGGGCCCTTGGCTCCGTGTTGAAGGCCGTACTTTGACCTATAATGGTTTACTTTTACAAATTGTGACATGGATGGAGAGTTGTCTCATTGGCACTCATACCATATCTTCTTATATCTATATATATAAATTTGGTTCGAATCTGTTAAAACAATGACAACATAGGACATGAGAACACACACTTAATATTTGACAGACATTATAAAAATAAGGAGATGAGGTATGATTGCCAACGAGACAACTATCCACCAAAGTTCAATTTAAATGGATCTAAGCAATTATAGGCAACCGTACGGCCTTCGTCAATGAGAAAAAAAACCATACCGTATAGTCGTTCCTTAGATATACTAACTTGACATATATATAAATGGTTCAAATCTGTTAAAAACAATGAAATCATAGTACATGAGAACACACACTTAATTTATGGTTGACTAAGGGTCCCGACATAAAAAATATGAAACAATTCAATTGAGAAAAACTAACGGCCAAATTTATAACAAAACAATATACGAAAAACAAATATAACCGACATGAAACAACGACAACCACTGAACTACAGGCTCTTGACTTGGGACAGGCACATAAAGAATGTGGCGGGGTTAAACATGTTTGTGAGCGCTCAACCCTCCCATAACCAGTGGTGAAACAGCACAACATAACGACAAACTATAAAAATATTAGTTGAAAAAGGCTAAACTCATCAGATCGATACAAAGCTGAACATCCAAACAAAAACACAGACCGGACGTGGCAGGGTATTTATCCATCCCACATCCCTAAAACAAAAAGGACGCTATGTCCAGATCTGAGAGTACTCGCAGTTACTGACAGTTAGTTCAACATGTTCAAAGCCAATAATAACCAATAAAAAAATCATGTATCTAACACTAAAATATCAATCAGTACACATCCAACATCCAATGGATTTAGTATAAATACGTCATTAACAGTCAGAGAAAAACATGACCTTGTGCAATGCAAAAATAAACATGATAAAGGTATTGGCGGCATATTGTAGACCGAAAACATGATTAAAGTGCCTATGTGTATAACAAAACTAATTAGTATGATTTTAGTTTACTGATAACAAAATCAATATTTATACCAATAAAAACAATTATTCAAAGATCTAATTACAGTGTTGAATTGGTAACCTTTTAGAATAAGTTATCTAAAGGATTGATAAGTTTACCCAGATCGTATATAAATTTCCTGTAATTTTAGTGTCCAAATATTAAATTTGCCTTTTTTGAGTAGTCCAAACCTAAATAACTAATCTCACAAACTCCCCAAATAGGCACTTTAACGATTAATGATGTCATATTGAATAGAGGGCAGTTTTTTTTGGGTAGAGGTGGAAATAGTATGAAAGTACGGGAAACCGTTCTATGCATGTTTCCAAGCAAGTGTTCTGTTTCAATGATGTTTCTCGTATTCTTCAAAGTATTCTCACCATTACAAAAAATCTGCCCCCTATTCAATATGACTGCAATAACTGTGAAAGGGCTTATTATATAATATTCCGCTTAACTGAGTCGGTTCACCCGCTAGACCAATTCATCTTTGTTTCCGGAAAGCATTTCCGATACTAATGTCAGATTACATATTTCCCGCTATTTTGACTTTCGGGACTCTTTGGAATTATCTTTAATCAAAAGAGATTCCTTTTGTTGTTTTCAGAGGTAGGAAACTTAACAAATCATCTAATGCTTACAGTTTCCAAGGTTAAGATGTTCTTACCTTTTTCTTAATACTTCAGTTTGTAACTTTTGTCTTAAAGCACTTATTAATATGTTTTAATTTGTCAAATTGAGTTGACATCCAAGCCATCCATATTAATTATATTTCTATCCTAACCTGATATTGATAACAGCTAACGTTATTCAGGTCAGGAATAACCATTAGTTAGTGGATTATACCTTATTTGAGGATATTTACGACTGGTCTCATTGAGTTTGCATCAGTTCCAACTTTAAGATTGGTTAGTCTAAATGGACTACATGAACAAGAGACCACAGAACAAAAGTTAGATTTAAATAGATGAAAACTCAGAATATATAAGTACAGAGACATATAATACAAGAGATTCGCAACTCTAGTAGAGTCTATATAACAGCCAATGAAATGACGTGGCCACCGGAAAGCCGATTATTCCCATGGATTTATGGGTAAAAACTCGCTATTGTTGTGAAAAGGGTTCTACGCCTCACGATTTTTCTAATGGATAATGCCGATACCTTTCACAGCTAAAGCATGCAAGTATATTTAAAAGTTACAAAAAACTAATTCTAATATTTTTTTATTGTTAAATGTGTTCGAATGATGAGATTAATCAAATACAAACAAAGTTAAAACTCAGCCCATTTTACTTCACCTCCTATTGCCGTAGACACCATTTGATCTCCCAATTTTTTTCTTAAAACTTGGAAATATGCTAATAAATATATAATTTTATGGGGCAATAATTCTCCCAAATGTTGTTTCGTGAAAATAAGACTATTTTCGTAAAATTTGATCCAATAGTGTTTTTTTTCTTCAACAAATGTGGCGATTTTTTCTTATTGATACCCGAAGCCAGCTGTGCTGGTACTATCGTTTTATCTCGTAAAACTTGGAAATGTGCGAATAAATATTCAATTGTATGGGGCTATATTACTCTCAGATGTTATGTCGTGAAAATAAGACCAGTTTCGTAAAATTTGATCCAACAGTAATTTCTAAAAACATCAACAAAGGTGACTATTATTTTGTTATTTATACACAAAGCCAGCTATGCTAATTTTATCAATCTGTTTCGTCAAAACTAGAAATTTACAAATAAATATGTCATATTATGGGGATATATATTACTCCAAGGATTTGAATAGTGATACAAATCCTTGATTACTCCCAATTTTTTTTTTCTTTTCTTTTTTTTTTGGATTAAACTGGCTAAATATTGAAATTGTTCATGGACAAATTTCCTTAAATCAGTCCTTCATTTATGTGCACTATGAAATTTATAGCCTGCATTTTGTTAGGCAATTTATTCATTTTTCATTCTGTTTATGGAAAAGTTGTTTATTTTCTCCTATTCTGAAGTCATTGTTTTTTTTCTTCTTTTTAGGGTGCCAAAGATGAACGAATGCAGTAAATTAAATAAAAGGAGTAAATTTTCCTAGTAAAGGAAACCTTCTGCTGGTCGTAATATTGTGAATGAGCTTCATGCATCTGTTGTCGTGTCAGATTACGCTTCTCATTCAAAACATGAACCTAATTCATTTTTAGATTAAAATCGTATTGAGGACATTTCAACACGGTTCAATGGTGTATACACATAAACAATCTTACTTTTAAACTGCCATCTCTTTACCCCAGAATAAAAAGACAAAAACCACTACAAATGATTAAAAGACAAAAATTCGTAAGGGTTCCGCGGAACCCAGAGTCTCGCCTACTTTTGCTCTTAATCGCAGGCTCAACAAAAATGAGGAAAAAAATTAATAAAAATATTCCTCTCTATACTATCTTTTGATTGTAAGTAGCTTCTGTCCAATTTTGGTAAAAATCCAGGATAGTTTATGAATCTAAAAAATGTTTTAAAAACTTAAACTGCAGACTGTATGTAATGTTAACTGGCAGAAAAACTAAGTCCATTTATAAGTAAAATACGGAAAAAATGGAATTTTTTTTTTACAAAATTTACTTTTGGATACTATCTTATGATCATAAACAAGCTTCTTTCCAAGTTTGGTAGAAATCCAGGATAGTTTTAAGAAAGTTTTTAAAATTTCAAAAACTTTAACCACAGAGTGAATGTAATGTTTCCTGGCAGAAAAAAAACTAAGTCCATTTATAAGTAAAATACGGAAAAAATGGATTTTTTTTTTTTTTTAAATTTACTTTTGAATATTATCTTATGATCATAAACAAGCTTCTGTCCAAGTTTGGTAGAAATCCAGGATAGTTAAAGAAAGTTATTAAAATTTCAAAAACTTTAAACACAGAGTGAATATTTGTGGACGCCGCCGCCGACAACAACAACGACGACGCCGACGACTGAATGTAGGATCGTTATGTCTCGCTTTTTCGACAAAAGTCGGAGGCTCGACAAAAACCACTATAAATGATTGTCTCGTGGAAATAAGGTTATAAAATACTTTTTAAATAGTGTCTTCCATGTTGCTTTGATGTATGACCTCGGCTCCCACTTCAATGTTGTGTTTTTTTATAGATTTTTTGTTGCTTCGAGGACACACATATCCATCTATGTATGCAGTATTGTCAATTGTTTTTGTTGGTGGGTCTCTCGCTTATGTCTTCGTCACTTTCACTATCAACAAAGAGTTCGTCATCAGTTTATTCAACTTGGAGTGTATCTAAGTCGTAACTATTTAGATTGTCATCCCACGAGATAAAATCGGAATTTTCCATATTGCGTGCACATGAATGAAGCTTTATTCAAATGAGAAATTAATTGTAATTTTCTTAAATATTAATTCTCAATACACACTTCGAACATGAAGAAACCATAAATTTACCGACAATCATTTAAAAAACAACTCAATGCAAGCCTATGATGAAACTGTCAAACAACACTTAGAAATCAAACATTTACCGACAATCCTACAGAAAAAACACAATGCAAGCCCAATTAATGATAAATATAAAAATAAATAAAATTTTAATAATTTATAAATATCAAGAATAAAAAACAAAGCCTATCATGATTAACAATTAATTAACAAATAAATTAAGTTCTTTCCCATTTTAATTAATTTTACATTTTGTGAATTGTATTTTTGGAAAGAGTGTGGACACCTGTGGTGTGACAACTTCTTGTTTACAAGGTGTCAATTAAAACTCATTATTTATAACATGTTCGTGATTTACCTGGTCTTCGAATAATTCAAACCTAATATACATGTCACACTGTGAAATTATGTCTCCGAGACAGGTGTATATTCAATAGAAACCCATTATGAAACTATCAAATAAAATGAACTCTGACACAATTTAGCAAGTGTTAATTATTTAATATAAGTTTTTTTTTAATACAATATCAAATTATGTCTCTTTTTCAATAATACAAATCTAAAATCAAAATTACATTAAAATAAATAATTATATATGAACTCAAATTATTTAATTAATTATGATAAATTTAACACTGAAACAGTTTAAGTTATGCTTAAACATTCGTCCTTACTTCGAGTACTTTTAATACTTTTATTAATGACTTTTATTACCTAAGGAGATCTTGCGAGGTTTAACTAGTGGCCGCATGTTTTTACAGGATTTCGCCGAGTTGCGAATCTCTTGTATTATATGTCTCTGATAAGTAGGAAAAGAAGGGTCATATTTGTTTTTGGGTTTTTCTGGGAAAATGCAGCACAAAATGTCAGAATTATTTCCAATCTACATCATACGACAATGTATCAGCACCTTGATGACTATACGTCAGAGCATAGCAAACAGACACTTATTAAAAGAAAACAATTTTATGAGTGCAATAATCAAAAATAATTTTGTGCAAAATTTTTTTTAAATAAACACATTTATATATTTACAAACAGGGTAGATGTCTAAATGTACTGACTTTAGATCCAAAGAGTTTACATGGTTAATGCTGATCATGTTTTGTGGAAGTGAATTCCACAGTACAAATGTGAATGGGAAAACGCTGTGCTTAAAGTAATCTGTTCTTATGCTGAATGTGGCCAAACAAAAAATATGTGTGCTTACAGTTTCCCGACCAACCCTCATTTTATCGCCACGACCCTAACTTTTTTTATTGGTAATTTTCAGACTTCACAATAGACATGACTTGTGATATACCGATCATTGAATTTGTCAAGCAGCCACACTTTTCTTCTTAAGCTGTATAAAAACCTTCTTGGAGATGAAAATTTCTCTACCATGATCGAGATTTTTTTAATTTTACAATTCTGACATACAGAGTGTTACAACTCAAAAGTTCAAAACAAGTTCCAATTTTCCATGTTTGCAATGCCTCATAGTTATGAGAAACATCGATTATGATTGGCTGTAATATAATCACAGGAAACATTCATTTTGATTGGCCGATCACCATTGTCTCACTTAAGAAAAGTTCAAAATCAGGAACCAATAAATTTTTCGTGTAGAATTTCTCAAAATCGTGTTTTAGAGTGGGACAAGGTGTCAAAATCGTGTAGTTAACACCTAGATTATAACTAAACACATTTTCAACCGTTTACAAGCTGCTATTACACTGGTTACAAAATATCTTGATATCCAAGTTAAGGCAAAGTGTACATAATAAAATAATAAAGATAGAAAAAAAAGGCAGAAAACTGTGCTCCATCAAGTACCAGACAATGATTCAAGGAAATAGATTTATATATAAACAAACTCCAAGTTTTCAAAGTTTTTAAACTTTTATCTCATCAGGGATTAAATCGAGATTATATGTGTATATATATATGAATTTAATATGTATTGTGTAAATATTTAACTTGCAGTAATAGGTGTAAATAGAATTCAATTATGGTGTTGACATCTCTGTATATTTTTAGGACAATAATATTTTATGAAGGAATGTATATAACCCTTTTTGTTATAGAATTTTAATCTTAATCTAGTGAAATTAAGGGCTTTTAATACTGTGACACATGGGTGGATCGATAAAGGAGGAATCTACCAAGAGAAAAAGTACATAATTAACTACTCCACAGAATTTTTTAATTTCACATAAGGATTCTGCTTATAAAAATATACCAGAAAATAAAATAAAAAAAGGGGGTAACTATTTTTGTATTCTAGATATGAGCTGTTGAAATTAACAGCATGATAAGCCAAAAATACAAATGATACATAGTGAAAATGATAAAAATTGGCAGATATTTTTATATTATCAAGATTTTAGATTTTGTTGGTCCACAGAATTTTTTAAAAATTGATATACATTGAATTAAAAAATGAACGAATGTATTGACAAATTGTAGTACCGTGAAAGTGCATATATGTGTACACTTCTTACTATACAAATCCTTGATGTGTATAACAATTTAGTTAGTATGGTTTTAATTTACTGCCCTCAAGGTACGGTCATGGTCCAGCAACTGATTTGATTAGCAATGTTGGTGTTAATCAAATCATCTTTTTTTATGCTCTTCCTCGCCGTAGCAGACAGGGCATTAAGGTTAACCCTTGTCCGTCCGTCTGTACGTATGTCCCGAAATTGGTTTCCATCCTCCATTGTCCTCTAACTTTAGTTTGACTCAACCAAATGTTATGAAACCTTTACACAATTACCACAAAACTCAGATCAAGTTCTAATTTGGGTGGCGTCACTTTTACCATTCTTAAGTTATGCCCCTTTATAATGTTATATGCAAGTGCGGGCATCATCTGTGTCCCATGGACACATTCTCCATTTATGTTAATTTTCTGTTAATAAATATTCAAAGAAAAATAATGTCAAAACAGAATTGTGACTATTTGTCCTGTAATATTTTTTCTTTGACTTTCCGTTCTATGTATACATTCATCTCATAACAACTTACACCAACTTAACAAAGAACATACTCATGTATTTTTATCTACAATAACAACAACCTATGTTTTTTGTTGTAACTCAATAGTGTTATGTTATGAACTTTTAAATAAACATTGTATTATATAATTACAGATCTTAACTGTTATGTCTAACAAAGAGTTAAAGGATGTTATAGAGGAAGAACTACACACCAAAGTAAATATACAGGGTAGTCATGGCGGTGGATGTATTAATGAGGCAGTTACCATAACAACAGATAATGGAGACAGGATATTTGTCAAGATAAATAAAAAGTTGGAGGTAACTTATTTGAAATTTCTGAATTATTAGTTATTATTATCATTATTATGTGTAGTGATGTGGTACATATTCTCTGCATTATTATGATGAAATACACTTTCTTCTTAAACCCTGGATACAAATGTTGAGAAAATTTTTTCAATCAACCACCAAAGTATGAGGGTCTGGATGGGGTTTAATTGGCAAAAAGTGCAGAATAAAGGGCCAAAAATATAAAGGATAGTGAATAATAGGTTGTTTAATATTTAAGGTATAGAGAATAATGGGCAAAAAGAATTTAAAAAAAATGAATGAGAAAGAAATAAAGGACCCCTATCCAGATCCTCAAATATTGGATTGAGAGAAATTCCAACAAAAAAAATAGTCCCAGTCCCACTGATTTCTCAAGAAAATGAAAGATATGTGCTCAGTTTGTCAAGATAATGCATTTGTCAAGGGTACAGTAGTACTTCTTACCCTTATTCAATTGATTGAAGTTTATTTGATTCAGATAATATGAGCAGCGTCGGATAGAAATCGACCTTATGCAAGTGCATGTTAACATGTACATGTATAAAACTTTGATTGATTTTGGAACATTCAAATACGAAATAAAAGATGAATTTTGGTCTGTTTTGAGGGGTTCTTATATCAACTCAATTTTCCAACAGTTATAGACTTTGCATAGAGATTTTTGCAACCCCCAAAAAGTTAACATATGTCTTGATATTCATTTGCATAAGGTCAATTTCTATCCAACGCAGCTCACATATTATTGATTTACTTTATCTCATTGACGCCTCTAGTTGAATCATTTTATACCTATATCTGCTAAGGGGATAACTTTTGCATGTTTCTAGTATTTTATCACTAGTTTTGGTGAATTATGTCAAAAAAGTTTTCATTGGAATACAAAAAAAAGTCTTCTGCAAGCAAAAAAAGTTGAAATTTAGATCATAGCAAATTTAGATTTGTAAGGATGAGAATCTACTTCTTATGCTCCCTGATTTAGCTTTTTATCTTGTAGGCACGAACCATGTTTGATGGAGAGTTCATTAGTTTAGATGTTATCCATGCTATGGAAGTTGTTAGAGTGCCAAAACCAATTAAAGTAATATTTATTGACACTATATTTTATTAATAATCAGGGTACGATATAGATATAAGAAGATGTGGTATGAGTGCCAATGAGACAACTCTCCATCCGAGTTAGTTAGTGCTCTGATGACGTTCAATGGATGCCCTGTAGTAATCACTTTGTCTATCTGTTGAGACTTAAAATGTCATACAGTAACAGCTTTAATGGAAAGTTATCTATTGGGGATCAAAAAGTTGAAACCTCTTTCTGTGTTATACAGGAACTCAATATTAGAATAAGAACATGTGGTATTATTGCCAAGGAGACAACTATCCACCAAAAGTGAAATGAAGTAGATGTAAGCAATTATAGTCAATCGTAAGGCCTTCTATAATAAAAAAAAACATACCATATTGTTGGCTATAAAAGGCTGACATGAAAATGTGAAACAATTCAATTGAGAAAACTAACGGCCTAATCTTTAAAAAAATAATTTACGAAAAGCAAATAGTACAGACATCAACCGACGACAACCGCTGAACTACCGCCTCCTGATATGGGATAGACACATAAAGAATTTGGCAAGGTTAAACATGTTTGTGAGCGCTCAACCCTTCCCTAACCTGGGACAGGGGTTAAGAACAAACTCTAGTAATCAGTTGCAATGGGCTTAACTCAATAGATAGGCAGGATGCACTAAAATAAATAACATTGCAAAAATAGACTCAAAGCACCAAAATAAGAGTATTCCCAGTTACTGAAAGCTAGTTCAAAGCCAATTACAACTAACAAATAAATCATGATTTCCCAGACTAAGTGTCAATCATTACACATCCAAAGGATTTAGTGTAAAACATCTAAAAATGCATGACCTTGTTCAATTAAAAAAAATACAAGTAAACAGTATCAATTTGATATAGGATCATAAGTTCTCATTTCTCAAAAACAAAATCAATGTTAATAGCAATAAAAATAATATTTAAAGATTTTACTGATGGTTAAATTGATTACCTTTAAAAAAAGTTTATTCAAAGGATCATTTAGTTTACATGGATCATACCTAAATTTCTGGGTTTATAAACAACATCGCAGTAAAAATTAGAACTCAACAGGTACAGCCAAACTTCCTAACCAAATCTTCAAGTTTGCTTTTAAAAATTTCCATAATTTGATACTGGAGTAAAGAAATGAGCATCCTTTGTAATTTTAAGGATTTTTAATGTGTCCTTCCAGATATCTTTGACTTAAATCATCTAATAATAGCAGGTAAAAAAATTATATTGTACAAGCAATTTCAAAAATGCCATTCCATATGTGTTTGCTGGTTATTAATCAAATAACATTATTACGAAAAAAATATAACAAAAATACCAAACTCCAAGGTAAATTCAAAAAAGGGAAGTCCATAAAAACTGACGAAATCAAGCATTATCAATCAACAGAAGGAGTGAAAAACAATTGTCATATTCCTGACTTGGTGTAGGCATTTTCTGAAGAAAATGGTGGGTTAGACTTGGTTTTATAGCCAGCTAAATGTCCCACTTGTATGACAGTTGTTTATAGTTCCGTATTATGAAAAAATGGTTGAGCAATTCAAACAAACATAACAGGTTAATGAGATGGATTCTACATGTTCTATAAAAGGCATTCTATCATTATTTTTAACACATTTTTGGGGGATACAGCTATTGTGGTTACCACCAAGGAAACAAACATTAATACATTAACAATGCATCATTTCTTTTTTGTCTAGCCTTGATGGAGTCAATAAATGAGACATAGGTATGCTGTTTCCAGCGGCAGCGGCTGCAGTGTCAACAATGTATTAGTTTGTGATTAGATCAGTTTATGGGGAACCACAAGTGGAAAGTGATATTGGGTATGCAGTTGTATTAGCATTGGCACATCTCATTGCCATGGAGATTATTTGGCCCTGCATCCTCAGTCATGGTCTATAGACTTTGAAACTTTTGCTTAGTTTACATGTATTAGTTTGTGATTGGTCAGTTTATGGGGAACCACTAGTGGAAGGTCGATGATATTGGGTATGCAGTTGTAGTAGCATTAACATATATTTTATTTCCATGGAGATTATATGGCCCCACCCTCTCTGTCATGGTCTACTGACTATGAAACTTTTGCTTTGTTTACATGTATTAGTTTGTGATTAGGTCAGTTTATGGGGAACCCCTAGTGGTAGGTCAATGATATTAGTATGCAGTTGTATTAGCATTGGCACATCTCATTTCCATGGAGATTGTTTGGCCCTGTAACTTCAGTCATGGTTTTTGCTTAGTTTACATGGTTTAGTTTGTGATTAGGTCAGTTTATGGGGAACCACTAGTGGGTATGCAGTTGTATTAGCATTAGCACATCTCATTACCATGGAGATTATTTGGCACCACTCCCTCAGTCATGGTCTAGATCTATTAACTTTGAAACTTTTGCTTAGTTCACATGTATGTATTAGTTTGTGATTAGGTCAGTTTATTGGGAACCACTAGTGGTAGGTCAAAGATATTGCATATGCAGTTGTATTAGCATTTGCACATCTCATTTCCATGTAGAATATTTGGCCCCTCCCTCAGTCATGGTCTATTGACTATGAAACTTTTGCTTTGTTTACATGTATTAGTTTGTGATTAGGTCAGTTTATGGGGAACCCCTAGTGGTAGGTCAATGATATTTAGTATGCAGTTGTATTAGCATTGGCACATCTCATTTCCATGGAGATTGTTTGGCCCTGTAACTTTGGTCATGGTTCATTGACTTTGAATATTTTGCATAACTTACATGTTGAAGCTATTTTAATTTCAACATTTGCATTTTACTATCAAAATAACAAAAAGGCGAGACATTAACTGTGTTAACAGTTTATTTGTTTCTGCCCACAAGGAATAGCATTCATGCAGTTTATAAAAATAACATACACTAATTTGCAGGTGATTGATTTACCAAGTGGTGGGGCTGCATTTCTAATGGAATGTCTAGACATTCATGGACTGTCAAAATATTCAGCTAAACTAGGTGAACAATTAGCAAGGTAAGAAATACTTTATTATACCCCCAATCAGAGTGGGGTTTAAATCACCACAATCAAATGTTAACACTTCCCTCCACAGAGCAGGTGTTGCTATGCTCTTGTCCCTCCAATTTTATGCCCCGCCGTAGCATACCAAAATTGGTTTCTGTTTAACTTTAGTTTGCCTCAACCAAATGATATGAAACTTATACACAATACTTATTACAACAAAACACAGATCAAATTTGAATTTTGGTGGCGTCACTTTTACCGTTCTAGAGTTATGCCCCTTTACAAATTATGAAAAAATTGCTGAATTTTTCATTTCCGTTCTCTAACTTTAGTTTGTCTCAACCAAATGTTATGAAACTTATACAAAATGTTTATTACCATAAAACACAGATCAAATTTGAATTTTGGTGGCGTCACTTTTACTGTTCTAGAGTTATGCCCCTTTACAAATAGAAAAATGCCAAATTTTTATGCCCCTGCCGTGGCGGAGGGGGCATTAAGTTTTACCCTTGTCCGTACGTACATACGTCCGTCCCTCCGTACGTCCGTACATCCCAAAGTTGGTTTCCGTTCTCTAACTTTAGTTTGCCTCAACCAAATGTTATGAAACTTATACACAATGCTTATTACCACAAAACACAGATCAAGTTTGAATTTTGGTGGCTTCACTTTAACCGTTCTAGAGTTATGCCCCTTTACAAACGGAAAAATTGCTGAATTTTCATTTCTGTTCTTTAACTTAAATTAGCCTCAACCAAATGTTTTGAAACTTATACACAATGCTTATTACCAAAAAACACAGATCAGGTTTGAATTTTGGTGGTGTCACTTTTACTGTTCTAGAGTTATGCCCCTTTACAAATGGAAAAATTGCTGAATTTTTCTTTTCCGTTCTCTAACTTAAGTTTGCCTCAACCAAATGTTATGAAACTTATACGCAATACTTATTACCACAAAACTCAGATCAAGTACAAATTTGGGTAGTGTCACTTTTACCGTTCTTCAATTATGTCCCTTTATAACTTTATATGATATTTTGTTTATGCCCCACCTAGGGGCATTATGTTTTTCAGTCTGTGCGTCAGTTCGTTTGTCTGTTCATTGGTTAGTCCGTCCGTTTGTCCGTAAGTCCAGCTTCAGGTTAAAGTTTTTGGTCAAGGTAGTTTTTGATGAAGTTGAAGTCCAATCAACTTGAAACTTAGTACACTTGTTCCCTACGATATGATCTTTCCAATTTTAATGCCAAATTAGAATTTTGACCTCAATTTCACAGTCCACTGAATATAGAATATGATACTGTCCTGCCTCAGGTTGATGGTTTTGGTCGCTTCAGGTTAAAGTTTTTGGTCAAGGTAGTTTTTGATGAAGTTGAAGTCCAATCAACTTGAAACTTAGTACACATGTTCCCTACGATATGATCTTTCCAATTTTAATGCCAAATTAGAATTTTGACCTCAATTTCACAGTCCACTGAATATAGAATATGATACTGTCCTGCCTCAGGTTGATGGTTTTGGTCGCTTCAGGTTAAAGTTTTTGATGAAGTTGAAGTCCAATCAACTTGAAACTTAGTACACATGTTCCCTATGATATGATCTTTCCAATTTTAATGCCAAATTAGAATTTTGACCTCAATTTCACAGTCCACTGAATATAGAATATGATACTGTCCCGCCTCAGGTAAATGGTTTTGGTCGCTTCAGGTTAAAGTTTTTGGTCAAGGTAGTTTTTGATGAAATTGAAGTCCAATCAACTTGAAACTTAGTACAAACTTAGTACACATGTTCCCTATGATATGATCTTTCTAATTTTCATGCCAAATTAGAGTTTTGACCCCAATTTCATGGTCCACTGAACATAGAAAATGATAGTGCTAGTAGGGCATCCGTATACTATGGACACATTCTTGTTGTTCACTGACTTAAGTTTGCATCAACCAAATGTTCTGAAACTTATACATAATGCTTATTACCACAAAACTCAGACCAAGTACACATTTGGATAGTGCCACTTTTACCGTTCTTGAGTAATGTCCCTTTATAACGCTAATCGCAACCGGGAGCATCATCTGTGTCCAATGGACACATTCCCCATTTATTTCTTCCAAACCTTTCTTAAAGTGGTTGTTTTTTACAGAGTTTAAATTTGGTGATATCATAGGCAGAATCTGTTCCTGCGATTTTTTTCTTCTTATTGACCTAAAAGAATCAAATTTACATGAGGGGATATTTTCGTGATTTTATCTATATTTCGAAATTAGCAAAAATGAACACCTGGTGAAAAATTCCCACTTTATAGTATTGTATTTGGCTGTGTATTATATATATTTGTACATTGTTGGCACACCTTTCTTCACAAGAATTCAGGAAAAAAACTGTTTTTCATTTGTTGAAAACTTAAAGTGAAACTCAGATAATTTCAAATCAGGTTTGTGATTGTTTTGAGGTATTTTCATTGAAAAACCTGTTTTCCATCATCAAGTAGAAGTTTAAAATGTTTGTAAATGATTCTAAAACACAGAACAAGTGTTAAAATAAGCCAGAATCATAAAAAAAAAATGGGAAAAGTTGTGATTGTCATTAACCGGAAATAGGAACAGAATTTGTAAATCGCAAACAAATACAGTGAAATTCTGTACTTAATACACGTAGATATTACAAAAGAATATGGCTTTGAAAGTAATTTAGTGCCATCCTTAAGTTCCATGCTGTTAAATTTATTCATCACATTAATGTTTGAAGAACCTTTACCATGTTTACCTGAATCAAAATAAATAAAGCAGTACGAAACACCAAATCTGAAACAATGACTGATATACTTTTTATCTGATCGCAAAAATTTTGCGGCCATATATATTATATGACCTCGTCGTCGTCCAAATACATTTGTTTTCCAGACAATAACTTGATTATAAGTTTATGGATCTCTATGAAATTATACTATAAGGTTTCATACCACAAAAGAAAGGTTGGGATTGATTTTGGGGGTTATTGTTCTAACTCTTTAGGAAATAGAGGCCAAAAAGGGGCCAAAAAAGCATTTTTTTTGTTTCAGGAAAATAACTTGTGTATAAGTGTATGAATCTCTATGAAATTGTACCACAAGATTACATACCTCAAAAAGAAGGTTTGGATTAATTTTTGGGGTTATTTCCCAAACCATTTAGGAATTAGGGGCTGAAAAACAAGGATTTTCTGGTTACTGGACAATAGCTTGAGTATAAGTTTATAGATCTCTATGAAATTGTACCACAAATTTCCATATAAAAAAATGAAAGTTGGGATTGATTTTTGGGGTTATGGCCCTAATCGTTTCGGAGAAAGGGGCCAAATCAATGCTCTTCTAATTCTTTGTATAAATTGCTTATTTCTTGACCAATTTCAATGGGGTTTAATTCAAAGTCTTGAAGTCTTGGGGTTCTTTAATATGCTGAATCTAACTGTGTATTTAGGGTGAAGGTTTGGTACCATTAAAACGTTTAAACCCGCTGCATTTGTTTGCACCTGTCCTAAGTCAGGAATCTGATGTTCAGTAGTTGTTGTTTGTTGATGTGGTTCATAAGTGTTTCTCATTTCTTGTTTTTTATATGGATTAGGCCGTTGGTTTTCCTGTTTGAATGGTTTTACACTAGTAATTTTTGGGGCCCTTTATAGCTTACTGTTCGGTGTGAGCCAAGGCTCCCTGTTGAAGACCGTACTGTGACCTATAATGGTTTACTTTTATAAATTTTGACTTGGATGGAGATTTGTCTCATTGGCACTCATACCACATCTTCTAGATCTTATATCTATTTAGATTTGGATTATAGGTCCTGTTTTTTAAATTGGTCCACATTGAGGACCAAAGAGTCCAAAATTAAACTTTGTTTGATTTCATCAAAAATTGAATTATTGGGATTCTTTGATATGCAAAATCTAACTTTGTATCTAAATTTTTATTTTTGGGCCCCGTTTTCAAGTTGGTCCACATTAAGGTCCAAAAGGTCCAGAATTAAACTTTGTTCGATTTCATCAAAAATTGAATTATTGGGATTCTTTGATATGCTGAATCTAACCATGTATTTAGATTTTAAATAAAGGACCATAATAGGTAAAATGTCCAATTTCAAATTTTTATGTTTTAGACCACATTCATTCTGTGTCGGATACCTTTGCTGTGTCAAATATTTAATCACAATCCAAATTCTGTAGCAAGATTCAATTTTGTGTCTATACTTGCCCCAACTGTTCAGGGTTCGACCTCTGGGTTGTATCATAGATATAATAGCCATAGATAAAGTACTGGACCCACATCAAAAGCAGATGATATTTGCCGAAATTTTATCACCCTCTTTTTATATACATGTCACACTTGGTGTTAATTAGCCTTCATTGGCAATTGCCGTCGATCGATATCTAATAAATTGTGAATCAGGAGACTTTTAAAGACACACGAATGTGCTACGTAATGACTTTCAACCATAATAAAAAAACGACTTTTTTTTTTAACTCTGCCAGGTCCAAAGCTCGGATAAAATAGGAGGGAAGTCATGAGAAGTAAATATTGTAAAAGCGCAAATGTCCTTTATAAAAAGCGCAAATGTCCATTTAAAAAAGCACAAACGTCCTATGTAAAAGTGCAAACGTCCCGCACTGGAAGGGATATATAGCTGTATTTATAGTACGAATCACACCTCTAACACAATTGTAAGAAGGAAGAGGAAAAAACCATGAATGACACAGGACAAAACTCCTATATTTTCATTTTATCATAGCCATTATAACGCTTAATCTATATATTGTTTACTTCAAAAATGAAATCGACAATCAGATTATACCACCATCTATTTAATAGCAAAACAAGCACAAAAATGGTAAGCGGAAAGGTATATAGAAGAAACAAATTCAGAGACATGATTGAGCTATTTCCCAATTATTTAATGTATTCAGTGTGTCCACTACATACGTTTTCTTCACCATACGGTGTTTATAATAAGTTTATAATGTACTCCTTTTTTTCTCTTTATTTTCTAAAACTTCGTGGTACGACAGAAAGTTTCAACACTTGTAAAAATCTTTTTTCTTTTCTAAAAAATTATAATTTCTTCTTTCTGGCATAAAGTATGATTACACTATTTTGAATCTCAATAAAAAAGAAATTTCTTTAACTCGCCATAGAAAAATTTGACCAGGTTCGACCTCTTAACCACGTATACCATCAGTAAATGATATGTCTCCTCTTGTCAATCATACAGGTCTTATTTTGCAAGTGCAACCGATGCAAGTGCTATGACAATTTAATTTTACATGCCTGTTAAGTCCATTTTCCATGATTTCTCTATTTTATTATTTCAACAACAGCATAACCTTTTCATTTGTTGACCGATTTTCTCCAAATAAATTACAATCCGAACAACTTTTACAACCAGACGCTTTATATTGCTTCCGTGTCACAGCATATTATTACTTGAGACAGGTAACACATATTAATTATCGGTTGATAAGACGAGTGCCCGATAATTTAAATATAATTATGATAATTAATTAGTCTATTGGGAGGATGTCGGCAAATATCATCTACATCATAGGCCACTACGCGCAGTGCCCTGCTTTTGATATTTCAAAGGAAACTACATGGGGCTCAGTGTGACAAATTCTGAGTACTTTATCTATGGCTATTATATCTATGGTTGTATCAAGCTGCACCCTGCTGTGCATTTTATTTGGAGGGTATTTTACTGATAAACTTAAATTTTTGCAGTTAACATTTTCGTACAGCAGCAGAACCATTTCTAATTTTTATTTAGTATATACCCATAATAATGTTTTTCTTTTTTACAGACAGTCTTAAAGTCTTTAGTATTATAAAAATTGATTTTGTTGTACATGAATATTAATGTTTATTGAAGGTTACATTTACTGAATGCAGAATTGGAGGAAAAAGGAAAAAAGGGTGAAAAATTTGTTGGTCGAAGTCAATACTATAAATATATTGATAAATTTGGATTTTATACAGACACATGTTGTGGTTTTTTAAAACAAGACAATATGTGGAAAGATACATGGCTAGTAAGTATTTCAGTTATATTTAACAGGAATTGGGAAAGGGAATGAACCTTATTGCATAAAACAGAAGAAATAGTGCCAAGCATAGCCAGCCAAAAAACTGTTTATGTTTAAGCTAAAAACAGATATATTTTCCAATCAAAGGGGGCAGATGCCCTTACCAGTACTCCCCCTGAATCTCCCACTCAACCAACAAACATGGCCTCCATGGCTCTGAAAAGAGCATAAGGGTATAACACATGTAGTTTTTGTCTCGCCTTGACGGAGTCAAAAAGCGAGACATAGGTATGCTGTTTCCGGCGTCAGCGACGGCGTCAACAATGTATTAGTTTGTGATTAGGTATAGTTCATGGTGATCCACTAGTGGTAGGTCAATGATATTTGGTATGCAGTTGTATTAGCATTGGCACATCTCATTACCATGGAGATTATTTGGCCCTGCCCCCTCAGTCAAGGTCTATTGACTTTGAAACTTTTCATAGTTTACATGTATTAGTTTGTGATTAGGTCAATTTATGGGGAACCACAAGTGGTAGGTCAATGATATTTGGTATGCAGTTGTATTAGCATTGGCACATCTCATTACTATGGAGATTATTTGGCCCCGCCCCCTCAGTCAAGGTCTATTGACTTTGAAACTTTTCATAGTTAACATGTATTAGTTTGTGATTAGGTCAATTTATGGGGAACCACTAGTGGTAGGTCAATGATATTTGGTATGCAGTTGTATAAGCATTGGCATATCTCATTTCCATGGAGATTATTTGGCTCCGCCCCCTAAGTCATGGTCTATAGACTTTGAAAATTTTGCTAAGTTAACATGTATTAGTTTGTGATTAGGTCAGTTCAAGGGGAACCATTAGTGGTAGGCCAATGTTAATTTGTGTTCAGTTGTATAAGCATTAGCACATCTCATTTCCATGGAGAATATTTGGCCCCGCCCCCTCAGTCATGGTCTATTGACTTTGAAACTTTTGCATAATTTACATGTATTAGTTTGTGATTAGATCAGTTTAAGATGAACTGCTAATGTTAAGTCAATGATATTTGGTATGCAAATGTATTGGCATTTGCAAATATCGTTTCCATGGAGATTATAGAGCCCCACCCCTGATCATGATTCATTGACTTTGAAACTTTTACATAGTTTACAAGTTAATGTTTGTGTTTAGGTTTGTTTAAAGGGAACAACTTATAATAAGTCAGTGGTATTTGGTATGCAGTTGTATTAGCATTGGCACATCTCATTCCATGGAGATTGTTTAGCCATGTACCTTCAGTCATGGTTCATTGAATTTGAATATTTGCATAACTTACATGTTAAAGTATTGCTATTTTAATTTCAACATTTGCATTATCAAAATTACAAAAAGGTGAGACATATCTCTGTGATAACAGTTTATCTTATATATTGTGATCATTACAGATACATTTTAAAGATTTTATGCTTAATTTTTGTGATATAGACCAAATATAGTTAGGAAGATGTCAACTACATTTATTATCAAACAAATACATGTATCATGTTCATGTATGAAAAAAAGTAAACTTCTAGAAAAACAAATATTGACAATGCATTTTGTAACTGCCCAATATGAATATAATAGTCAGCAACTTATGACACAAAAAATCCAAAAGAAATCTTTTGATATTGAATCACATTATTATGATTATTATGTATTTTCCCAGGAGCTGTATGCAAGGAAGATTGATTTACAGATGGAATTGTTAAATAAGAATGTAAGTAAAGACACTTGTTTACTACAGTTTACTCCACTTGATTGTATATCACTTAGTTGCTTAATTTGGTTATTTGAATAATTATAGCCTTATACCATGTTTATATGAACAGCATATTTTCCCTTGAGAAAAGTTCAAAATCGGGAAGCAACAAACTTTTCGTGTATATTTTCACAAGGTATACAATTGTTGCAATAGAAATACTTCATCAACTGTTGCAAAATAAAGTTATTTGAATATTTATTTATACATATACATATTTGTTTCAGTATAGAAATAATGAAGCCAGAGAACTATGGTCACAGCTAATACCAAAACTACCTAAATTTTTTGAAGGATTGGAAATAAAACCAGCATTGATACATGGTGATCTGTGGGGAGGAAATGCTGGGGAAACATCTTCAGAACCAGGTTACCATTTAGAAATCTATTTATATTGTGATAATATTTTTTTAAATTTCTCAAGCGGGGAATTCCAAAAGAACTAATGGGGTAATCTGTTGATTACAGATACCCGCTGCCAGCAGCAACTGAGAGAAAAAAATTCCATAAAAATTTCATCAATTTCAAATAGCTGAGTTCTCCATTTATTGTTTGGAAACTACAAAATTTTGTATTTTTTTTTAAACAATCTAATACCATGATTATGAAACAGTAAAAGTGGAAATAACAAAAATTTAACTGAACCTGTCTTTAGCATCCAACACATGCCATTAAAATTTCAATTAATTTCATAAAGTGGTTCCTCATTTACTATCCAGAAACTAAAATTTCAATTTGTTTTCTAATATTCAAGCACAGTTTTTTTTGGCCATGATGGAGACGACAATCTAACTTATCCTGTCTTAAGTGGTCCAAAAGATTCCATAAAAATTTCAAATAATCTAAAAAAATGGGTCCCATTTATTATCCAGAAACCAAAATTTTTTAAAAATTTCCAACGATCAAAAACCCTATCTCTGGAATGTAAAAGTGAAATCCATGAAAACTCTTTTAACTTAATCTGTCTTTTGTGCTCCAAAGCCATCCAATAAAAATTTCAATTATTTTCAAAAAGCAGTTCCGTCTTTATTATGCGGAAACTAAAATTAAAAAAAATATGTCAAGATCTACCTACTCTGCTAACCTTGACCTGGTTTTCATGATTCATTGATGTATTGAATTTTCAAGATATCTGTTGTAAGATCTTGATTTCACAGACTTTTAACATAAAATTCAGTCATCAGTAAAGCAGGCAAGACATTTCAGCATTTGCATTTTTGTTCTGAGGACATGATTATAATTTAAGAAGAAAGTGTCCAGAAGACACTGGTCCTGAAACATGCATGAAATATTTGCCACTGGATGTAAAGCAAACAACAATCAATCCACATGACACATCATCTTTTGTTTGTCTCTGAATGAATAATTTTATTTTGTAGTAATCTTTGATCCAGCAAGTTATTATGGCCATTCAGAATTTGATTTATCAATATCAAAGATGTTTGGAGGTTTTGGTTCATCCTTCTTTGACAGTTATCACAAGTTAATCCCCCAAGCAGAAGGATTTAGAAAGAGAATAGATTTGTACAAATTGTTCCATTATTTAAATCATTGGTGAGTTTAGTTATCATAATTGAACTAAAAATATATACAATGTACTGTTAATTCAGAAATTAATGTATGCATTCACTGATTTTATGAAGGAATATCACTACTGTAATTATGAATGTGTTTTTTTTTATAATTGCAATCCTGATATTGTTGCATTTATCGCATTAATAAAAACATTGCAATAATTTCCGAGTTTACAGTACTTATAGGGAATACAAAACCTAGTAGTTTTAACACTACAGTTTGTAAACAAACTAATCTAATAAGAACAAGAAGATGTGACGATAGGACACTGCACCCACTGACAATATGATATATCCAGGTTCAGTGAACCATGAAGTAGGAGTAAAAATCATTACTCGCCATATAATTTAATCTATGTTTCAAGTTTATGTGACCAAAGCTTCATTGTAAATCAATAAATGTGCAGTTTCTGGAGCATCTATTGGCAGTGTCAGCTTTTCACTTTTTTTTACAGTAAAAAACTGGTTGTTGCAAGATGACACATAAGTCAATATCATTTTGTCAGTCAAGTAAAATCCATTTTAGCAATTATAATAATAAGCTCTAGGGGACAGGGGTGATTGTATGTGTCTGTCATAAAATATGTATTGCATGTGTAGCATTCTTATTTTTTCATTGGTTATTATGATCAAGTGTTTCAAAGGGTATTTAAGTATATGGACGCCATATTTCTATTTATATATATATATATATATTGATGTTCAATATTAAAAATCTTGCAAAATACAATGTAAAATACGCTATGTTTCTATTTATATTATATATTGACGGTCAATATTAAAAATCTTGCAAAATACAATGTGAAATACACAGAAAGAACATTGAAGTCGATTCCCATCAGTCTCTGTTTACATATGTAATATATAAATTAAAGACTTTCACTCAGTCATTACATTATACCGTATATCGTTTTTTTTCGCGTCAGCTTTTTTTCGCGATTTGATGACAAAATGGGCAGGTTAAATTTTCACTGTGTATAATTTTCGCTGAATGGGAAAATACACGCGAAAAAAATCACCGTATTGAATTGTTAAAGATGTAAACAACATAAACTTGGTTGACTGACAGAGAAGGGATAACAAATAAATACAAGTACTTCAAACTAAAATACACTTAATGTTTTAGTTATGACAACACTCAATTGATCGTCGCTAATTACCTTCACAATGGGATGACATGTATGATTAGTCAATTTAATCATTATGAAAACAGAAATCTTAATTTATGATGCATACTTTTGTGATCTGCCTAAACATAAAAGACTGATTTTAAAGATATTGTAATATCACTTTTAAGGGGACATGAGTTTGTGTATCAATTTCGTGTCAACTCGACAATTAACAGTATAATGTATGAAACGTTTAGACAGCGATAAATCTAGAAATATGCAGGGAAATTTATGTGGAGTCAAATTTTTGCGTTTCTTTAGGTGCCACGAACAAAGTGAAAATTAAAAACATGCGAAAAAAACCCGATATACGGTATATGGACTTGTTAGATTACATTGACACTCAGACTTCGTTCTCGGTCAATATAATCTGAACAGGTCCAAATATAACGTATTGACCTTGTCAAAAGTCCATAATTGATAAATATTTAAAAAATTTTATTTCATATTTAATATATTTGTGTGGAGATCCATGTCTTTATACTATTTTATTTTATTTCAGGAACCATTTTGGTAGTGGTTATGAAGGATCCACTTTATCAACATTGAGAACAGTACTTCAATATGTTTACCCATGAATCAGTCTTGAATGGTGTAAGGCCATTAACTTATTACCTTACCTTAGTGCTTTCCTTGAATTTGTTATGCGGTATAGGCTGGCTCTATAAGTTTAATTGATTCAAAAATATTGAAAGGAGATGTATATGTTGAATTTCAAATGAGATGATTTTTCAGAGTTCTTGAAAACTGGTGGTCAGAAGGTTTAGACCACCAAAATTTGCAAAGAAGCAACACAATTTTGGCATTTTCCAATAGAAATAATTGTGAGGACCAGCAGATTTTCTTCAAGGACCTAAAGGGAAAAAAGATTTGGAGAACTCTGATTTTTATATGTACATTTAAGCTGTTGATTTTTATACCATCTGTAGCTTAGAGCTTAATGTATTGTTTATTCATACTAATTTGGATTAGTAAATATCAGCTTTGACCAGAAGCAAATGCAAACCATGAGAGATTTCAACAGTTAGGACAGGCATATTAAGAATATTGCAGGGTTAAACATCTTATCTGGGACAGTGGTGTAACAGCACAATAGAAGAACAAATTTAAAATCAGTTGGAAAAGACTTGACTTATCAGAATGGCGCTATAAACACACCAATCTAGAGTACTCACAATTTCTGAGATCTTGTTCAAATCCAATTCCAACTAATTGATAAATCATGGTTTCCCAAACTTGTGGCATGTTTTCAATAAACATGTAAAATATTGTATTTACTAAGCTAGAAATATTTTCAATTTACACAGGGAGTAAAATTGTTTTTTCGTAGATGTATGAAATTCTGATGGTAGTTCTTGTTTGTTTGTCAATTCCTTTAAAAATTTTCTTTTTTGTTTTAAGATATATATATTTGAAAACATTGTTAACTGTTATCTATTTAGCTTTATATTATTTGTTTTTTTGTTTTAATGATATTTGTTTGTGTTCATAATTTTTATATTAAAATGTATGTAACATGATTGATGTTTGTTTCAATTTCTTTAGTACTCGAAAAAAGCAAACTCCTAGGAAATCTTGAATTATCAGGATCCCTTAAAGGTAAGCAATATTGCTACACATGACTATGCCTATGAAAATGTATGTCAATATAGATATGAATTCAAAAGAACACACCAAGACAAAAGCCATGTCACATTCAATTACAATCCTATATAAATTCAGAAACTGAATTTAAGAAAATCAGTCTTCATAAAATTTACCTTTATGAGTTTAGAATCAGATTACCATTAGGTCCATAATATTTAGAGCTGATTGTCCATAGTCTCTTCTTGAAAACTCTTGTCAAGTTCAAGGTGGGCTTGCCAAAAAAACAAACGAGACGTTTTGGATGCCAACTGTGTGCGACACTCGTGGGTAGGTAAGGTTGTTAAACACTTTCATAGTAGTAGAGACTGCCTTGGTGGCCTTGTGGTAGCCTGCTCCACTTGAGAGCTTGAGTTCGTGGGTTCAATCACCAATCTGGACAAACCAAGGACTTTAAAATTGGCATTTGCTGCTCCTCTGCTTTGCACTGCATTAAGGAGTAATAGCATGGACTGATAGGCTCGTAGTAAGAATAATGTCTCTGAGTAAGGTGACATGTCTTCCTGCTGATTGTAACCTTGTGAACTAGCACATTCTTTTTCTGAATACGCATTTAATTTAATGTGCTACTGGTTAATGTACAAAAAAATAAAGGAAAAATTTATATGATATACAGCAACAAAACAACCACCTAATTTCAGGCTCCTCATATGGGACAGGCACATACAGAATGTGGTGCAGTTAAACATGTTTGCAGGGTGCCAAACCCTCACCCTCAGTACACATATATATAACACAAGAGTGCACACACTGAAATGCCTCGACTGCTTTACTTATCATGATTGAATTTATGTTGAAAATGTGTTATGTGAAGGTTCAACTATAAGTTTCAAATAAAATTAACATCAATAATTAATGTAAATTAGGTCAAGGTCAGATGAATCCTGCCAGACACACACATTCACCTTGCAATCATTCCATACACTAAATGTAGTTGACCTATTGCTTATAGTATTTGATAAACAGACAAAACCACAAAAATGAGGTCAAGGTAATATAAATCCTGCCAGACAGTCATATACATGTTACAATCATTCTATACACCAAATTTAGTTGACTTATTGCTTATAGTATCTGACAAATAGACCAAATAAAAAAAATTGAAATTGACCAATGAAGCATAAAAATAAGGTCTAGGTCAGATGAAACCTGCCAGTCAGACATGTACATGTTATAATCCTTCCATACACCAAATATATTGACCTATTGCTTATAGTATTTGAGATACTGACTTGACCACATGAACTTGACTTTGATCACTGATCCATAAAATGAGGTCGAGGTCAGGTGAACCCTGTCTGACAGATGTGTAGAGTTACAAGGAACCCATATACCAAATATAGTTATCCTATTACTCATAGATGAAATTCATATGACAAAAAAAAACCAATAATATTTTTCAAAGGAGGGCTGAACCATAAAAATGAGGTCAAGGACAATGAATGGACATATGTATGAGTAAATATGACAGACAGAAACTTTGTAACATAAGATATCTGCAAACAAGGTATGAAGCATCCACTTCTCCCTTCTGAAATATAAATTAAGCTTATAATTAACAAATAGTTTATGCTGTCGCCTCTGTCAGATAGTAATCCTTATGTCTCGCATTCTGCGACTTTCATCAAAGTGAGACAAAAACTGCTGGATTTGAAGCTTTTGATTTCCTCTTGCAACCTACAACCTTCTTATTACCATAAAAGCTATTGAAATGTGTATGTACATGGCATGTACCCTTAGCGCAATATTATTTATAAGGACGTTTAGTCTAACTCAAAGCAATAGTCTTATTTATATGTATTGCAACCTCTAAAATGGAAACAAACACAAAATTCCAAAACTAAGCGTACAGCTGGTCACTTATTTAGTTCATGTCTAAAATTAGATGTAGAGTATTGAAATAAATTAGCCTGGAGTAAGTTGCTTATAACATACCTGTCCAAAGTCAGGACATTATAAACAGTTATTTGTCTGGAATTTTGTTGCTTTCTGTACATCACTTTTGAGGTTGTCTGCCATTGAAGGAAATTAAAGGTTTCCCACGACTTTTCTGCTTCACAACAGAAAACATTTGATGTCGGAAACAGAAAGTTAGGCAAATATTTATGGGGGACAGGGTCAACATACCGTTATTTACATATCAGAGGGTACTAGTTATCATAACTATTGATACACCAAACCAGGTACCTTATATCTGAGAAACAGGCAGTATATGCCCTTAATTTTAGAATTCATTCACACATTTTTGTATTACTGTAAATTCAGAAATTATTGCGATGTTTTCATTATTGCGAAAAATGCGACAGGGAAATAATCGCAATAATTTAAACTCGCATTTTGAAATTTTTTATATGAATTAAACATGATTTTTCTCAATATGGCAAAAATAAAAATTGCATTTTTGTCAAAATAACAAAATCGCAATAATAAATGCACGCAATAATTTCTGAATTTACAGTATTCAAAATTATCAGTCAAAAGGTGTTCTACAAGGATCACCTTTCATTTTATACCAAAATTAACAAAATATATTCTACATAGTTTGATATTTTCACCTATGCATGGGAACTATTTAGTTTTAAATATATACCAGTTCTATTTTCTGGTATGTTGTTTTTGTCCGGGTCCGAGTTAGTGATGTTACATCTTACATGGCCTACTCGAATTATTTACCCTATACATGTTATTTCCTTCCAAGTTATCTAACATATATCTTGATGTGCCCTGTGAATGTCTGTTTTTTTAACACTTCAGTGTGATTGTTGGGCTAAATTATGACAGTACATGTTTGATTTCTTTGCCAGATTTATTTTATTGATGTTACTCCATGGCTTTGTTCTTCAATTCATAGTTGTGGCGTGATTGTCAGTTTGCAAAGAATTCTGCTCAAATCAGTGCTAGGAGCCATCTTAAACTTGCAGTTAGGTGAGAGTTTTTTGCTCCGCATTGAAGGCCTTACTGTGACTTTGAGATGAAAAACAGCAATAACATAGCTTGTCCTTTGCTTTTTTTGTTTTTTGCTGTGCATGTACTAATTTTGTATCATGGATGGATACCCCATATCCTTTCTTTCTTATTAGCTTACGGTCATCATTCAAAGGCACAAAATTAAGGTATTTATAAAAATATAAGGTATGTCTTAGTAAATGCAAACACTTGAATGTGTCATATTTTATATCAATTTATCAATCTTGCGTCATTTCCTCTGAACTTGTCATGCCATGAATCCATTTGATCTTATTTTATAGCATGGACACCTGCATATTACTGATGGCCTTTTGTAGTTTTTTATTTGATGTCTTTAATTGTTGTGTGACGTATTATTGATGTTTATCCCTTGTATAGTTGTAATGTATTCAATTGAAAAAAAACAATAATATTTTTTCCCACATCCATTTTATTGATGACATGAGAATCAGAAATTTATAATATCACAGAGTATGAAAATATTATGAAAAAAAAAATACATTTCAAACATCAGTATCTTTCCTTAGTGGTCTCTTAAAACAGTTTCTTGGCAACTGACCATAACTTAAAAGTTAAAATTACATCCAAACTTTAACAGGTGTTAACTGATTTTTTGCAACTAGTCAGTTAAATTTGAATATTATGTAGAGCTATTGAAATCTAAGGTGAACAGCAAATTTCCACCGAAAAAATTTTTTGTTTAAACATTTTTTTAAACAGCTCTTCATTATATTAGATTGAAATAAACCACTTGCAAGAAAATTAATTATCACCAAATTAAATTTAGGCGTAATACTGCTCTTTACAATGTCACAAAGAACAAAACATATCAATAAGCATAAATAGGATTATAGCCTAAACTTCTTTTATGTGTTTGCCTCCTCAATTTTGCTTTTGGAAAGAGAACTTTTGTCAAATTTGTACAGTTAGCTGTATGCCCATCAAAATAACTTCACAATAATATTTACTTTCATAGGGTTGATGTTATTTGCTTGACGCCACATAAGCGAAAAAAAGGGCTATATCATAACAAGTGCTTTCAAAGCCCCTTTTATTGATGAAAATTAAAATCATCTCTCAACAAAGTCAAAATGAAGAAAAATCTAAATTTGTATACTTTGACCAACTTCTTTAACAATTAATTGAAAAATGAATTCCTTATAAACTTGACCTGTGATGAAAAAAGCCTAAAGCCAATGATTTTATTAAAATTGTATTTTTTCAAACCAAACACTAGCTCAGTTACATTCCCATGGTTTCCCAACAGTTAACAATTATAATAACAATGACAATATAATGGTGTTACACATTAAGACTGTTATATTAAAACAAGTAAAGTCTCCAAAGAAACTCTTCGTAAATTAGGGAATCGCACAAACGGTTCACAAAAGATGATTCACTCAAAAGTCACTCTTCGTGGTGATTTTTCAGTGAAAGCTGGTGATTATGAGTGATTCACTTTCAAATATAACAGATTTTATTTGACAGGGTTAAAAGTAAATCCCAAATCTACAACAATAGTCCTGCTTCACTGTTTTCACTTGACATCAGCAAGGGTTACTTTGTGTGAACTATAAAAGCTTGCCAGGTATGGCTTTTGTCTTTTGAGTAAATATTTGATATATCAATTTTAAAGTGTCTTCTCTTCACTTTACAAGTTTTAATGGAAAACCCTAAAAGCTTTTCTCTGTTATGTCCAAAACTTTCATTAGATGATTTAACATGAATGCAATGTATAATCTTTAAACTAAAATAGCAACAATGTAATAAAAATAATTATCCAACATAAACAAATAAATCGTGAAATCATGATACCATTGGCAAAGAAGTAACGAAATAACACCAAAAAAAATTACACTTTTATATTTAGTTCATTCTAAATGGTTTTTTACAAGGGTAAAATACTTGAACTTTTCAAAAAGGCTGAAAGCTTAATACAAATGTAAAACGTTCATATGACTAGAATATTAATTTTGAAATTCTTCAAATTCTATTGGTTACTCTTTTGTAGTACGACAGTAGCAGTACATGAAAATGCATAACAACACATTTGAAATACAAAATTTCCGTCATTACATTCAAAGAAAAGTTCAGTCGATTTATTTTCATAATTTCAACAAAACTTATGATTGAACTTTGCTACAAGACAACTCCAAAGACAATTTTTTTCTAAAATGACAACATCAAACAATAAAGAAATACACTTTTCGATAAAAAAAACCCTAATGGATGTACAACCATATATGCATAGGAAAAAATAAAATAACAAGCAACAATAACAAATGTAATACTTTGTTACAATATTTTCATTTTCATTAACCACTTCATCCAATGGTCACTCTATAAGCCCTGTATTGTGGATGATCAATCACAAAGCACTGGTTGATACCCACAGCTATTGTGAAATTTGTGAATAGCTTTCCACAAAAAAATATCCAATTAAGATACATACCGGGTATCCCGATCCGAAACCAAGGGGCAATTAATGAAAAGTTTGTAACTGTGGATAAGTAAAATCTGGATCTGATTCCCAGAAGAATTATTCACCATGGGAAAGGATCCACATTTTACTCCATATATAATGATGCAAATGTTTCATTATTTGCTCCTTTGGATTTGCATGTCTCCGCAGATTTTGAATCGGGATAACCGTTGTGAGATAATGAACTAAAATCCCATCATCATTAATAATTATAACAAGGTATTACATGTACAAAGGTTTAACAACAATATCAACAATAAGATTCCTAATGTTATATAGACTTTTAGTTATGTTACTCTCGGTTCATATATAAATGTTTACAAATACAGGTCTTCCCGGTAAATACTCTGCATAAAAAAAAACCCATTTCTTCCAAAAGGGAAATATACACGAGACACAAAATACAGCAGAAAAAAACAATATAAGTTTAAACAAAAGGAGATATAGGGCATAGGTCAATAATACAGCAAACCCAACAGAAGACATTAAGAGATGTAGTTTGTTTTGTTTTTGAGGAAATGTCTACAAAGACCTAAACGTTGTTTACTCCTGAATTATCAAGCCAAAAGACCTATGTCTGCAATACCATATAGAGTCAGGTTATTTTGTTCATCCAGTAAGTCCGTTCATTTCAGTAATCTACCCGGACAAAATAAAGTATCAGCCATCATCATATATAAAATCCAGGTATTAACAAAGATATTACATGGCATTGAACTGGTTTTTTCTACTACCTTGGCAAATCTACATTACAGGGTTACTAACTGGGTCTCACAAAAATCATTTATGTTTCTTGTGTACAAAAATATTAAATAAACAGCTAACTGCTATTATTTACATATATTCAAAACTTTACATAAATATATGTACAAAACATTGCAATGGATATTCCAGAAATAGTTTTATGATAACCAGTTTTCAGATAAATATAATTTCAAATCCATATTTAGTAAAATAAAAATTATTCCTCTCATAATGTAGGCAAGGCAGGTTATACAGTAATAGTAACACTCTGCCAATTTCATGTTAGAACTCACATTCATAGGATCTTGTAATGAAATATACCTTGATACCTTTATAACAGTCACTATGTATAGAAAATTCCAGTTATCAAATTTGACCTCATTTATACCAGTATTACAGTCATGAAGTACTTACTAAAAGCTCTAGCACTTTTAATGCTTTATATTTATTTTCTATATTTAGATACAGGAAATGTGAATATGCTCATAACCTTACAAAAAATATAACAAGCTACTATGGTAATTGTTCATAAAAAAGATATTGTTTATTTTGTGCAGTATTAAAAATGTATGACAAGGAATGCACTAAACAGGATAGATATCGGAGTCAAAAATAGATCAGATATACATATATATAAATATTGAAATTTATGAACTAAATTATCTTCATATCCTGCTTTGATAATTCCTGTTAAGAATGATCTTTTTTATTCATAATTTAACCCGAGTATATTAAAAAGGAATTTAAAAGAGTCAATATTTAAAAACTAGTGGTCTTCAAGGAAAAGGTCAATTTCACCGTTAATAATATAAGTAGAAAATTGTTTATATTTTATTCCGTGATCACAGTAGAATGTCCTTTTTTTGCACTGGTCCGTGGAGATTTAATGATCCTTTACTATCTATGAAACTGATGGTCCTGGAGGTGGAGGACTGGGGTCCTGAAATGAAAAACAACAACAGTTCTGATTACATTGTATCATCATTAATCTATTCAGAAACATGTGCATGAAGACAAAAAAATCTCAAGGCTGTAAGAGTAGGGCATGATGTCTCTGAAAAGGATCTTCAAGGATCAGTCCAGTAAAAGCTCGCCAGTTGGATATTTTTGGCAGGGATTCGGTACTGTTCAATATTTTTTATAATTCTGTTATTGTTTTTATGAATTTTTAGTATATTAATACAGGTAATTGTAATTGGACACGTAGATATGGAGAACAGCAAAAACTGAGCTGTTCGTTTGCTATTGGGGTTTTTTCATGTGTGCATATATATATATAGTGATTTTGAGTCATGAATTGATAACCATATTTCTTTTCTATGGTCGCCTGAACTGACTTCCCCCTCCCCCCAAACGACATGGTTAATATTTCTTTTGACCAAACTTGTGACCTGGTTTATATATAATGCCATTTGATAGCTTACATTATTCCTCTCTGGTTTCATATCACCTCTTTGTCTGAGACTTCTGGGACGGAGGAGATATAAAGCTGTGGCAACAACCATCCACCCCATCATCATTAACATCATAGTGCTGAACCCTCCATCGGGGGCACTGTCTGCTCCTGGCACTACAATATAAAAATAAGATGAGCCACAATTGCCTATAAGACAACTATCTACCAGAGACCAAATGATGTAAAAGTTAACAACTATAGGTCACCGTACAGCCTTCAACAATGACAAAAACTCACACAGCATAGCAAGCTATAAAATTTTATTTTAAACACATTTAAAGTCTATTATTTTTTTTACTAATGTTTACTTGTTGTTTACATGACTCTATGTTTTTTAACAGAAATCACATTGTCTAGTATATCAATGTGTATACATTGTATATTGTTTTATAATACAAAACAAAAATTGAGTTGATAACGGATTTGATGTCAATAAATGTAATAGCTCCAACAAAAAAAAACAATGTAAATTTCAAAAACTCTTTTTATCATATACATAGAGTAAATAACTAATAATTTTTACAGTATGATAATAGCATTAAATTTACGTGAATTCCATATTTTCCAAAATGGGCTGATATGAAAAAATTATCAACTGCTTCCGGATATTATCGCATGCCTTTCCATAACGTTATCGCATGGCATTTCGGCGTCACTCGGCAAATTCCGGAAAAAACACCTCAATGGTACGTTTTCAGTGAAAAACATAACAAAGTAGGGCACAAAACAAATATTAGGAATATTTGGAAACAGGAAAAAATATTATGTAAAATGCAAATGCTACAATAAATGCATTTTTTAAAGTTTTTGCTGAAGTAAATGACAAAAAGATCATTACATGTCATTTTTCATTATGTTTTGTTGATTTTTTTTTATTGTCATATAAACAAATATTATATAATATTATACTGTTGTTTTTCTCCTCTGTTGAGGCATATATATGGTAGAAAGATTTCATATCGGATGTATTACACTTTGCGTCCGTCGTCCGTAAACTTTTTACTTTTTGAACTTCTACTTGAGAATTACTTACAGGATCGATATATTGAACGGTTTCTTTTCTCCATTATTGAAGCATATGATAAAAAGATCACAGCATGTCATTCTTCATACCAGATGTATTATCAGCCCTTGGTCAATTTCAGCACTCGAGCCTACGGCTCTTGGGCTGATATTGAACCTTGGGTTGATAATACATCTAATATGAAAAATGCCATGTAATAATCTGATATTCTTGAAAAATTGAGCAAGAGCACAATTATTTCAGTTTTGTCTTTCTTGGGGCTATTCCATTGAAATGGATGTGGGAGTAAGGAATGGGCTGATATTGAACCTTGGGCTGATAATACATCTAATATGAAAAATGCCATGTAATAATCTGATATTCTTGAAAAATTGAGCAAGAGCACAACAATTTCAGTTTTGTCTTTCATGGGGCTATTCCATTTAAATGGATGTGGGAGTAAGGAATGGGAAGTTTAATTTTTTTAACAGGGGTTGAGGATTATCTAAGGTAATTTTATGTCAATTTAATGCATGCAAAGTATGCAGGTTGTGGGGGGATTATGAATGTCCTTATCACAAAATGTCTCTTTGAATTTCACCCTATTTAGCTACAATTATCTAAGAAGACTAAAGCTTAGTTTTGTTTTTGTTTACAGCATAAGTAAAAGTGATATACACATATAATTTATGAAACAGATTTATTCAAATCTAATAATCAATAAATGATAAGATGACCATCTATAAACCTTTTATACATCTAATTGGCTTGACTAATTCAAGTTAAAGATTTATATATAACAACTGTGGCCTCGGTGGCCGAGTGGTCTAAGTAGTTACTACTGTAATCACTAGCCAGTCAACACTGAGGTTGTGAGTTCGAACCCCGCTTGTGCGGGTGCACTCGACTCCAATTTTAATTGACTAGGATCGTCAGTTTTCCTATCGAAGGTCGTGGTTTTCTCCGGGCACTCTGGCTTCCTCCACCAATAAAAACCGGCCGCCTCGAAATAGCCCAAAAGCGGTGCTTAAAAGTGGCGTTAAAGGGAAATCACACTATTGTTTATACGCATCGCTCTCAGCGCCACTATAGTGTCGTGACCGTATTATGACGTCGCCGTTTCGAGTCCGTCGTAAAGGTTGCTAATTTCTAAAATGGCGGCCCGCTCAAAGGGACGTTCACTAAATCAAGAGAAAGCGAATGACGTTTTGATTTAAGTGCAAAAAATGAAAATGCTACTCGAAACGGACAAAATGTATGGCAAAAAAATAGACGAAAGTGGTCTTGATATGGTCTTGAATAACCTTACGATTGGGTTTAATTCAAATGAGTTACTCTCTTTAAATAAAGATATTATTATTATTATTATTATTATTATTGAGTTAATATTTACATACAATACCATTTATACAATTATTTTTCTTAAAGGTTTATTAATTTCACCGAAAAATATTGTTAGATATGAGAAATATCAACATTTTTTGTTGATCTGGTCTTTATTATTTGTAGCGAAATCCGTCAGCTCAACTTTATTTTGTAGAAAAACTTTTTTTATTTACTGGAAAGTTTATATTTTCTTATATTAACATATTTATTGATCTCGCAGATTTCTTAGTTTCACGAAGAAAAAAAAATATTTAAAAACAAAAGAGATATTTATAACACTTTTTGTCGATCATTTCAGTATAATCAAAGCGTACATCGGCGAATGTGAAATCCGTCCGGTCAACTTTTTTTTTTAGAAAAACATTTTGTTTTACTATGAAGTTTAAATTTTCATGTAAGATAACTATTAATATCGCAGATTTCTTAGTTGTATGAAAAATATTGTAAAACAAAAGAGATATTACTAGAAACACTTTTTGTCGATCAGTTCAATATATGTAAAGCGTACATCAGTGAGTGTGGAATCCGTCCGGTCAACTTTTTTTTGTTAAATATTCATAAAATATAGTCTAATATTTCTAAGGTCTTTAAATATTAAAATAATCTATCAAATAACAAAAAAGTTCTGACTATTTATATCTCATCCGGTCAATACGGGCAATTGTCCTGTCATTAGTGTAACCCAACTGTTGGCAGCGTATCGTCGCGATGCGGTATGTGGGAATATACTGGAAAAAATAACAATATACCAAGAGTAACAGCATGTAAGCGTACAGCTTCCGGAATTTGTAGTTTTCTGTCCAACAGAGGGATGTAAATAAGAACAATGAGTTTCGATGTTCCTTTGGTGTCAAACGCCTCTCTCTCTCTCTCTTGTTTCTTTTTTTTTTGGGGACGGGGGGTATGGGGGCACAAACACATGAACACGAGTGATTCGTAGAGTAATTATATTTGTTGAAATATCAAACGTTATATAAGAATAACGCCAGTTAAACATCACTGTAAAAGAAGCATACAAAATTTTACATCGGTTGCTGTCTGTCGAAATCAAAGAAAATTTAGCACCGTATTATATAGTACATTATACTCAATCTTCCTTTAATGCTTTGTACAGGCTTACATAATTTGGGCACAAAAAAAAATCATATTTTGTAGTATTTCTTCAAACTGTCAATTATAGCGAACTGTACGACCAGCAAGTTAAAAAATAAGGCCGCTAGACGTCAGAGCAATCTGGGAATATCAAACACTATGCCTAGTTAATTTTGTACTATTGATGACCGTACTGCCTACAACAACAACAACAAAAAATCCACACTGTATATTTGGCTTTACAAGACTCCAACAAGAGAAATATTTAATACACACACATGTATTTATGTAGAGTAACATGTCTTTCAGAGTGCTAATCTGTAACCATCACATTAAGGTCCGTCTTGTGAAAGAGTATTCATCTCATATAGAAAAAAATTTTGTGCTGACATTCATGTAATATTTGCCACTGAAAGTTTTGCAAAAATCAAGAAAAAAACGAAAACAAAAACAAAACAAAAACTAGTAGTTCAGATGTTGGTTCGTGTTCACATCACTCAATGTGATCACTTGCATGTCAACAAACAGTGATATAGGGAGATTGTCAGATTCCGATCATGACTGTAAAGGACAACCATTTGTTTAATACAAAGGTTGCTGATTTACTCTTGATACCTTGGTTCTTTAAAAAATAATGGCCAACATGATATAGCAGAGTGCTGAAAGTGGCACACACAATCAATCAGTTATTTTCCAATTACATGTACCTAGTATCATTAATCAGTTTTGGCAAAAAAAAAGTATATAGGCTATACAATACTGAAACATAAATGTGATAAAAGAATATACAATTCAAGAAAGAGAGGTGCACCAACAGAAATTAGAAACTGCAATCTTTCTTTTAATTTCATCGGATCTCAGATCTCAAAATTTTAACTCTTACCAGAATTTATTCTATCTTACAGTATAACTCGGAAGTTTCTAAGTGGAACTCGAGCTTTAACTAGAACTCTTACTCGAATTAACATTCGAACAAAAAATAAAACTGGAACTTTAACTCTAAATTTAGCTGGAACTCGAACTCTTATTCTACATCAAATGTTATCCACACTCTCATTTGTCATCTGATAAAAAAATTCGTAAGGGTTCCACGGAACCCAGTGTCTCGCCTACTTTTGCTGTTAATCGCAGGCTCAACAAAAATGAGAAAAAAAATCAATAAAAATATTCCTCTCGATACTATCTTTTGATTGTAAGAAGCTTCTGTCCAAGTTTGGTATAAATCTAGGATAGTTTATGGATCTAATAAATGTTTTAAAAACTTTAACTGCATACTGTATGTAATGTTGACTGGAAGAAAAACTAAGTCCATTTATAAGTAAAATACGGATAAACAGGTACAAAATTTTGACAAAATTTCCTTCGAGATAAAAGCTTTTGATCATAAGCAAGCTTCTGTCCAAGTTTGGTACATATCCAGGATAGTTTAAGAAAGTTATTGAAATCTTAAAAACTTTAACCACAGAGTGAATGTATTGTTTCCTAGCAGAAAAACTAAGTCAATTTATAAGTAAAATACGGAAAAAATAGGATAGTTTAAGAAAGTTATTAAAACTTCAAAAACTTTAACCACAGAGTGAATATTTGTGGACGACGCTGCCGCCGACGACGGAATGTAGGATCGCTATGTCTCGCTTTTTCGACTAAAGTCGAAGGCTCGACAAAAAACTAGAGTTAGATAAAATATATCGACATGTCCACAGAAACACGGATAGATGTAGCAGAACAAGAAAAAAAACTAGATCCGTTTATTACAAATTAAAAGATTTTTTAAATACATCAACTGGGAACATTATATGTTCCTGATATCAATATGGCGATGTGTATTTTATTGTCAATTAACTCTAAATTATCAGATGCATTGTATTTCTCATAACATACCAACGTTGAGCGATTAATCGAACGGTAATAGAATATACGTAATACATGTACATAAAGTTTTAATACACAGGCGATGAACATTGAACATATTATGTACAATGAACATGAAACGATGTATGAAAAATGGGTGCGGGATGATAGAACTCAGAAAAAAATTTGGTTTCCACAGTTCGAATAAATTATGAAGCGTTGTGTAATTACGGAACCAATTTTAAATTCCTCCCGAAAATAGGTTTCTTTTAAAGTGCTGAGTTTGTGGCATTTTTAACACGGCATTTCAGGTTTTATCTTCCCGGTGCGAATGGACAAGCTAGTGAAATTATGGTAACGAAATTATTCTGCCTGCAGTCTAAAAGGAACGTGTTACTTTTCAGCCCGGATACCCTCAGTCTTCCGAGGTAGAAGATTCTTTATCTGGAAGCCGAAAATTATTTCTATAATACGGCATGAGGCAAACATTCGTTTTCCCCATACAACAAATGCGATGACTTCAACTTTGACAATTACTTTATAATAAACTGTTATTGTATCTATGTTTAACGATTCGATAGATTGATAAAGATATCAATGAATAATCAAAATACCTTAAAAATGTTCAAAAATGATATTATATTTTGTAGTGAAAAGGTTTAATTCAACCCAAGAGTTGCAAGAAATGCTGTTATGCCAGCAACGTCGTTCTATAACGTTAAAAGGTTATAGTTCCCGCCAAAATTCAATAATAAAGATTATTTCCTTTTTAGCGGATTTAAAACATCGGTGACCCCCTTTTTTATTTATGCTTTTAAAATCTTCCCTAAAGCTGCAACTTTTGCAGAAGTTTGAAGGGAAAAACATCAGTAGATTTTTTTTTATTTCAAGAAAAATCTATTATAAATAGCAATTAAAAATGGCGGGAAATGTTCACATGTCTTCAAAAATAAGGAAACCGAGTCAAATAAATGTTCATAAGGTACAAGTTACATTTGACTGTTTTTGTTATTCCAGTTAAACATAGTTTTTCAATAAGTTTGTCTTTTTTTAACAATTTAGAGCGGTATTTCTATATTTCGTTATAACGCGTTTCTTTAAGTTTTGATGACGTCATATCTCGAAAACAACATCGGTGACCCCAATTTTTTTTTCGCCTTAAATATCTTAATAAATATGATCTGTCTACATGCGAAATTTCAATGAATTATTATTAGTAGTATAAATAGTGTGATTTCCCTTTAAAACACCAAAAATAAAATATATAACAACTTTTTTTATTAACTTACAACACAATGTACAATCAGTCAGTATGGAAAACATATATATCTACTTACATTCTGTTACACATTCGTTATCTGTACAGTATGACTGTGTGTTTCTTAGCTGAAATATATAAGAAGTGTTAAGAAAATGAAATTGACTAGAAACTTATTAACTCTGTTTAATTAATATATAATTAATTGGATAAACATTAAAAACTACATGCAATGTGCATGTATCTCAGATTCAAAATGCATAAAATTCCTAATATTTGAAAAAGTTAAAAAAAAAATTTTTGCTGTATGTTACATTATATTTTTAACAAGAAATTTTCATTTTTAATAAATATTTACGCCACATGAAGGTCTTTATTTTTTTCAATCAGTGTATAATCATTCATTTTTTATTGACTAAAACATTTGACTTTGTGGTGCTGTTACCAACTATTACAGGTGTACTGTATGAAAAATATTAATCGTTATGAAACATGTGCTATCAATGCACTTTAAACCAAAGGTGTAATAAAATTATTACTATTGATTATTATATTAAGTTTGTTATAGGAGTATCATATTAACAAATGCTTATTTTCATTGCCATGACTGTAAATATTAATAAGAATTAATGTCTACATTCTTAGTTATAAGTGGTAAGAAAGCAAGTGACATATATACCACTTTTAAGCTACATGTAGTAGCATTTTAGCACTTCATGTAAAGGAGTTTTAGCTTTGAGGCACAAAGTTGTGGAACTCCCTGCCTAACCATGCAAGGAGCCTCTCAACTTTGAAACAGTTCAAACATTTTATTTCAGCATGGTGTCCTTCAGAAAACTGCTTCTGTAGCTCATGTAGACAATAACTTTGCTGTCTCACAGCTGGAATCTTCTGGCCCTGTGTTCTGTTTATTGTTTGCTTTTGTTTTATTTATTTGCTTAGCTTGTGTCTTTGTGACAGTTATAGCAAAATTTGCTTTTCTTTTCTTTTTAGCTTGCTTGCTTTGATTTATGCATGTTTGCTTAGCTATTATATTATGCATGTGTTTTTATTTGTATGTGTAGTTTGTCAAATGTGCTTATAATTTGTTATTTGTTTTTAAATATCAAGTAGGATAAGAGCCCTACAGAGCTCATGTTTACCTTGTTGAATTGTACATATCATGCCCGACTCTAAATAAAATTTACTTACTTACTTACTTACTAAATCTGTATTTTTTTTTTTAAAATGAAATTATTTGCAGTATTGGTTTGAATAACTTTGATTTTCTATAAAGGTAACAAGTTAGTGCAAAAAGGCAAATTTGAACATATCATGCATAATTTATGTACTAATATTAAACTTGCTTTATAATTCAAACTGTAAATTTAAAAAGACAACAACATCCTGGTTACGACAAGGAAATTCTTTTATTGTGGTTAGCATGTAAAAGAATTTCCTTGTCGTAACCAGGATGTTGTGGTCTTTTTACAGCTATGGATTTATGATGTTTTAAGACAGCTGCAGCATACTTCAGTATCCATCCTGATGACTCTACCAGCATGTACTGCCAGCAGGTTTTGGTTCACTTGACTTTTTAATATTTAATTTTTTATTATAATTTCGTTTTATAATTAAATAATGTACAAACCATATTTATGAGTCTTTGCATAGCATTTTCATGATTCCATATACACTCACATGGATCAAAGTCAGCCATCTTATCTACAATTAAATATTTCAATCATTATTTAAATTAAATCATGCATGACATATTTTCAAAAAACTATTTAAGCTGCAATTTATTAGAGTGAACAGCAATAAATTTCACACAACTGTGCTCTGTTATGTTACAATATAGCATGCATAGTAGGCTAGTATGTCATAATAGATATGTAACAATGTATAATGAAGCTAGTTTTTTGTTTTTTAACTAGGCTTAAAAAACCGTTGACGTCACCCAAAATTTAAAGATTCTATTTTGAATAGCATTTGTATACATTTAGTGAATACAGAGATCCAAAATTAGGAATTGTCTGATGTTAAGCTGTTTATTTCATATCAAACTTGACATTATTTTTTAACCTCTAAAATATTTCAAACTGTAAGTTTAATGTCCTTTTCCTACACTGTACATGTACATGATGTAATTATTACATATTCAAATAATAAATCAATAAATAATTTATTGACAGCTAAATCAATACTAATTTTGAAAGCTAGTTTTTATTAAGCAATTTTCCATGCAGAATTGTGAAAGTTGTTATTTGTTATGCATTAATTTTTCAATATATTTAGTGCTGATCCTTACATGCCTTACTGGCTGTTGAAAAATAAAAGTTAAATACAGTCAAATGGATGATATGATTTATCAGGAAATAATTTTAAAATTTCAAAGTGGTATTTTTCACATTTCTATTGACATGATTGACCAAGCTGTAAATACATTGAATAACAATAAATAATAAAGTTTTACTAAAACATCAACCGTCATTGCTTTTTAAATAAACCTATGAAAACAGCATACAATTGGAACTATACTTCTTTTCTTGGCCTTACATGTTTTCTCTTTCAATTCAAAGCCTTTATATTGATTCCATATTTGTAACTCAGGTTTTACTTTATCATCTATTTATGAATTCTTTATGAGCCTGTTCATATTTTAGGTTAATTTTTATTGCAAAGATTATATACACATTTGTATGAATTATTGATTTAAAAATTGCCTGTATTTAAAAACAGTTGAAACACAACTATCATGACTATATTAATCTCATATAATAACACATGTTTCATCCTTACTGTAGAATCCTGTACATGTACATGTGCAAAGGAATCTTAAAGTTTGATTGCAATTTTCTTCTCCAGAACTAACAGATGAGACAAAAAAAAAAAGTGTGGTTCAGTCACCTGAACTACCCTTTCTTAATCCGGTACCTGATTTTTATTAAATTAACATTTTCCAACTTGCACTATTTTTAAAGTACAAAAAAAAATGTAACAAATGTTTCACACATCTACACTTACATGACTTAATTATAAGACCTACTGGCCCTTATGTTTTTCTTCGTGTGACAGAAAACATGTGTACATGTATATTTTTTTAAACTTGACAACCAATATTTTACAACTGAATATTGAGTGAAGGTCAGCATGCTCAATGAGATTGCAACCTAACAATCAATGTTTATGATGTTAACCAATAATTGTACATCTAGAAGATTGCCATATCAACAACTTCAACCGCAAATCTTAGTTTATCTTGTTTATACATGTACATTGTATATATATATATATATATATATCATGTATATATATACATTTATGAACCTCTAGATCATGACCTTGCCCAAAAAGTTGTGAAACAAGGAAGCCAATATAAGCATATATTTCACGTACATGTACATGTATATATTGTAGACATAATACATTGAAAAAACATCAAAAATATCTGATTGTCACTGTGGTTTTGTCCAAATTTTCATGAATATTCCTATCCGATTTGCAGATATATATAGATTCTACCACTGCATCGAGTGTGATACGATATTTATCCACTCGAGACAGTTAAATTTTCAAATATTTAAAATTTAACTGTCGAGAGTGGATAAATATCGTATTACACGAGATTTGGTGGTGGAATCTGTTTCTCTAATGATTTTCAAACAATACGCAGGCAAATTTATTCCTTCTTTTCGAATGATCTGCAAAGAGATGTGTTCTTTCTATGTGACGTCATCAGGCATGGTCGCCTTTTTTCATGCCGTCACAATAGGAAATTCAGAGGAAAGCAAGAAAATTCTACGTCATAATCAGATTTTAACCAATGAAGAACTGAGATCAAACGGACCACACGTTGATTAAATTTTTTTTATACAATGGGTGCAGAAAGGGATAAATTGACGAAGAATTAGAGAAATTCTTATATCTGATATTCTATTACACAATAAAATTTACATTAAACATACATGTATAGCAGTCTTTGCGCTCAACCACAGACCCACCAGCCCAGGCTTGTAAAAATGCTGTCTGGCCTGTAAAAATTATCTACAGGCCAATAGAATCTAACTTAATTTTTCGTAAAATTCAGCTTCGGGCCTGTAGATTCAAAAGCTTATTGTTAAGACTGGTATAGGAAAGGGTTTGGGGTTTTGAAATAATATTACAATAGCTGATATATTTGTTTAGCTGATATCTGATTAGGTGGAGACTACTGTACCTATTGGCTATATCATAATGACATTAGATACATTTAATTGATTTACTTTTAGCTTTCAAAAACAAGTAACAAACAAACATTATTAAAATTGATTTTTAAATCCTGTTACATTGTAACTACAAAAAGTACATGAGAATGAACTTTACCATGACCCCATGTTTTAATAATTTAAACTGGTTCTCAGTAGAATACATATACAGTGCATGGACATAAGTATTCTTCCCGTACAATTTTTTGCTACATGTATATATACTTCATATAAACATGATAAAACACATTTTGTTCAAAAAATTACCGGTAATTTGAAGGCATTAACATGTATGGTTGGTTTTTAACAAACTACCGGTAGGTGCTGAAAGACCCAGAATTGTTTGAAGTTTGTTTTTTTCTTTGTCATAATTTTGTGTTTAGTTGTTTTTGCCTTCCCATGAAGTGAACACACATAATATTTCTTTACATTCTAAACTGGTTGAAATACATGTACATAGCAAATTTCCAGTATCTAAAAATTGATGTTTAAATAGAAAAGATTACAAATATTAACATGATCATGATGATTGAGCCTTAATGTTCATGTATGATTTCAAAAAGTCAAGTGTTGTATGCCAATATGGTCATGATGGTACATTTTGTAACTCTGCAAAAATCCTATTGCTGTCTTTCATTCCAACATCACAGACACCTATTTCATGGAAATACAAAATATACCAACAGGTTTGTAAACATGGGCTCAGAAATGTTATTTTTGGACCTTAATCAAATTTGAATGTCCTCTATGCCCATGATGCCTAAGAAAAACAGTTTTTTTTCCCCTGTATTTTCACTGGGTATAGAGCAAATTACACATTTCATTCTAAATTAAGCCCTGCCCCTGTGGTTTCTTTAGATACAGTAGCTTTTACAGTTATCGCTAGGCAGCAATTTTTAAGGGAAATAGTCAATTGTCAAAAAATATCATAAGGACCCAAGAGCTACATGTAGTGTTCGACAGTTGTAAAAATATGTGTTAACTATATAACTGTGACACCTTCCTACAACATGTACAACTGGCATCACTACAAAAACTTAAAATAGCCTTTCAAGACGTCATAATAGACCACTTTCAAGTTATGTGCTTCACCGGAAAAAATTCGTCAATTATGTGCGCCTTTATGACGTTATTTACCAGATAGAGGGGATCGCCTGTATCCCTGCACTATTTACATTCATCAAGCATCTTAGTGATTGTCATTGTGCAGGATAAACTAGAAATAATGTTTGTTCCGTATATACTTAATCACAATTCCCTAATGACAGCAGTGCTGGTTGTCAATTATAAGAATTTAATTTGCCGAATAATTCATGCAATATAGCAACATATTTTTGCAACCGCTCGCTCAACATGGGAAAGGAAGTGACGATGCCCCTAAATGCACGAATGATGTTCACTAAAACCAAAGTTTTTGACGGAAATGCAACGAACTCAAAAGTTGTCTATAATTTCGACTAGGTGATTTATAACATAATGTCATAAACTATATATGAAACAACTGCCCATATATGTCAAAGATGTCAAATCATCATGATCATTGATGACCGAATTGAAATTGTTTATTTTTGGGAATTTTAGTGAATTATGTAGTACAGACAGATAGGTCGTTTTACAATGTAACTTTCGGTAAACAAACACTCTTGCATCATCGTAACTTTAAGTCGGAACTTTCAGTTTAGATCTGGGGGAATACATTTAAAATGCAAAATGATTTATAAACTAAAGGTAAACTACGAAAGTTGCATATGACCCAAACTAAGCAAAAATACGTACATTTCTCCTAAAACTGTTGAAATTTTGAAAAGGGAAAGGTTCTTGTCTGCCAGATGATACTGCCAAAGGTGTTTACTTGTCAACTTCCGGTTATACCAAAACAAAAGACACGTCAGTTTAGAACAAATTCCCGGATGAAAAAAAATTGGGAAGCGCGAATTTTCAAATGAATAAAATTGGAAAAAAGTTCATTTTGATAAAGATAATTTGACATTAGTTTCATTTTATTTAGTTTTTGATTATCACACAGATCTTTAAAATTAAATTTCTTATTATGTTTAAAGTGGCTCATACCAGAGACATATATGTCTCTGCTCATACTGACTCTTATTTGTTAGCGTTCTTTGTTTTTAGGGACTTCAGTCTCATTTTTTACCTGGGAGGAGGGGCTGTTCATTTTGAAATCAAACATATAAGATTTTCTTGACACCCCCCCCCCCCCCCATACTATTTATATCCTTGGTGTTTCAAAGCACCGTTCTTTTTTCATTTGGTGTTATAGAATATTTTGGAAACTTGAGGTTACATGGTTACTAATTAAAGCTTGTAAACAGGAAAAAAAGACTGATAGAGGAAAACAACGGTGGTATTACTCCTATTTAGGGAAGCTGCACATGCACCCTTACCTTGTATGTACAAGTTTCATGCTATTTCACGGAAATATTGCAAACATGAAATATTCTCAATGGATTGAGTCCCAAAAACATATTTGAGGGAAAATTGCCTTTGATAAGGGCTCTTCCATGAATATTAGTAGGTAGAGCAAGCCATACTCAGTGGTTTTTTTTTTTATTTATTGGGGAATTTATTGGTCAACACTATTATTTCATGATGTGGCGTGATTTGGATATTTTGAAGAAATTTTGCACAACTTGAATCGCTGTAGATTTCGTTTAAAATTTATACTAAATTTCTCTCAAACTGTTAAGTTGATTATAACAAAACTTGACAATAATGCTTGAAATAACCAGTCAAATATAGAATCAAGGTGGAATAATTGTTTTCAAATGGGGTTGAATCAATTCGACCAAGATAGGAAATGGCAGCTATACAAAAAAAAACTCTCTGCTTCAGATTTTTTCGAAACGGAAGCAGTTGAGATGGTGAAGAATGTTTACAATAAAAAATGCAAGTTTTCCATGATGCCAAAATTTAATGCGCTTGAAAAGTCAGATGAAAATCAAAATCAAACAGAATCAGACACTTATGAAGCTCTTGAAATGCAAGGTATAGGAGATGAGGAAATTGAATCTTCAAGAGATGAGTCTGACCCGTTTGACATTATAACTGTTATAAGCTTTTAGGTCCTGAGGGTTATGATGATGTGTGATCAGTAATTTGATTTGATCAGTTACATATATAGTGCAAACATTGTTATACATATATATGGTAATGAAATAAATTTGTTCAATGGTGGTAAAAATATATTTTCATTCGACTGTTGTAATGCTCTTCTTACCTAAAATATTTGATCCCCCTTGAAGTATGCAAACTACTTATTTCCATGTGCAAAAAAATTGATCCCCCCGCTTTAAATTTATAGAAAAATTTGAACCCCCCTACATTTTGACCAGTCCCAAATGTTAAAATACGACTGGTTTTGTAAAATTTGATCCAATAGTGCTTTCTAAAAATATCAACAAATGTAACTTTTCATATTGACACCCGAAGCCAGCTATGCTGGTACCCGACTTTTAAAAAAAAACTCTTGACACATATCAGAGGGTCTGGATGGGATTTACAGAATAAAGAATAATGCACAAAATGTACAGAATAAATGGCCTAAAAAATAAAGAATAGAAAAAAAATAGGGCAAAAAATAAAAAATAGAGAATAATGGGCAAAAATATAAAGAATACAGAAAAAAGACCTAAAAAATTAAAAAATACAGAAATGAAGGACCCCATCCAGACCCTCATATCAGGTATGTCAAATTGCCATTGTTCTTCACTAAATTGATCAACTCGTATTTGATCGTAACGATTCAATACGAAAGATACCGTTAGATGTGAAAAGAAGATAACAGGGTAATTGAATTGCTTAACTCTTAGAGTATAGGATCTGTTGAGTAGTTTAACTGAATTGAGTATATATACTAAAACCTAACAATAATTCATTGATCCTACAATAGTGTTCAGTTAAATAAAACCAGTGTTTGATGAAAAACAAAAATTCTTCATATATGTCTATACAATCAACTCTCGAATACTGTAATCGAGGTAATATTACTACGATGTCCCCTTTTTTTATTTGACGACTTCTTCGAATCGTAAAGAAACATTTGATACAAGTGATGTTTTGTTTTTTGTTTTATAAATTCAATTACGAAAAACTAAAACACTTTCGTTTTTTTGTTTTTTTTTTTTGTTTTTTTTTCTTTTTGTACTTGATTTCTCAAAACGAAAAAAATAAATAGTACATGGAACCAGGTAAGTCACTTTTATGCTCACCTGCCCAAAAGTCCAAGTGAGTTTTTCTCATCACTTGGCGTCTGTCGTCGTTCTTCCGTCGTCGACGTCTGTCGTCGTCATTAACTTTCACAAAAATCTTCTCTGCAACTACTAGGCCAAATTAAAAAAAAGTTGGCCACAATCATTATTGGGGTATCTAGTTTTGAAATGAGTCCGATGACCCTGCCTTCCAACCAACATTGACGACATTGCTTAACATAGAGCATGAGGTAAATTACAAGTTTTGTCTATTATCTTGAAAACAACTATGAATAGAGAAAATCTGACAGAGATGGAAATGTTCAAGATGTTGACATCTACTCGCTGTCTATTTACGTCGAAACTGTCAGACGACTTCTTATGTGAATAATGGCCCTTAAATGTCAAATTTTACCATTTTTCCATTTCTGCCTCAGTATTATTTTGAAAATTACAATAGAGAGAGAGAAACTTTAATAATGAAAAATGATCAGCAAGACAAGATCTACAAATATGTTACATGGCCGAATTCGTCAGACAATTCGTTAATGGAGTTATTGCCCCTAAATGACGATTTTTACCAAAGTTTTGCATTTTTGTCTGATATCTTACAAAAATCTTCTCTGAAACTACTGGGCCAAATTTTAGTAAACTTATTCACAATCATCATTGGGGTATATTGTTTAAAAATGTGTCCGATGACCAGCCTGCCAAACAACATGGTCGACATGGCTAAACATAGAAGATAGGGGTAAACTGCCATTTGTTTTATTACCTTATGAAAAGAGAAAATCTGATGGGGCAGAATTGTTCAGAATGTTGAGATCTTACTACCTAAAACTGTAACTAGAGAAAATGAGCAGCAAGACAATACAGTGGCGGATCCAGGGGGGAGAGGAGGGGTCCCGGGGTTTGGAACCCCCCCTTTTTTTGACGATCAATGCATTTGAATAGGGACATATAGTTGGAACCCCCCTTTATCCTGGGTTAGGAACCCCCCCCCCCCCTTTTTTATAAATGGCTAGATCCGCCCCTGCAAGATCTACAAATAAGTTAGCATGGATGAAAACGTCAGACGACTCCTTAATTATTGGAGTTATTGCTCTTAAATGGCGATGTTTTGTTGCGGTTTTCCCTAATGTCTTAAACATTATGATAGATAGATAGAAACTTTATCAAGATCTACAAATAAGTCAAACACAATCGAAATCATCAGTCGACTCCTTATTGAAGTTATTGAGTTATTGCCCTTTAATGACAACTTTTCCCATTTTTTTTTTGCATTTGTTTCTACTATTTTAAAAACCATAATAGATAGATAGAATCTTTAAAATCACAAATGATCAGCAAGACAAGATCTTCAAATAAGATATCATGGATGAAATCTTTAGCCGAGTCGACTCGTTATTGGAGTTATTAACTTTTAAAGATGATTTTTTACCATTTTTTGGAGGTTTTACCTCTTATCTTGGAAAGTATAATAGTTACAAATGTAGATCGAAACTTTGAGGGAAAATTGATCAGCAGGACTAGATCTCGGCAATCATGTCAACATGACTGAAACTGTCAGTTAATATAAAGATAAGAAAATGTGGTATGATTGCAAATAAGACAACACTCAACCAGAGACCAAATGACATAGAATTTAACATCTATAGGTTAACGTACCGCATTACATAGAGTTATATTGCCCTTTCATGATGATTTTAGATCATCAGGAATACATCATAATTCAATAAAACGGTTAATTTATTTTGGAAATAATAGAAAAGTATCAATACTACGATTATATTTCAAATAAAAAGTATAAATTCAGCTTGAACTGTAAGCTGAAATGATATGATATATTTGTTTTCCCTTACAATGACATTTGGTCTATAAATTTTTAACTTTAATATTCTCATGCAAAAAGACAGAGAGGATACCGAGTGGGCAATACAGCTGTAAAGAAGCATATCTTATTTTTTATATAGTTACTCAATCACTTGATATAACTTATCAATATATTGTAAAGAAGTACCAGAACGGATGTTACACGTGGAGCAGAACCTGACAACTCTTACGGAGCCCCCGGTTTTAGTGGGATTTGAGTGGTTCAGTTTTAGTTTTCTGTGTATGGTTTTGTGGACTTGTTTGTTTTTTCGTCGTTTTTTCGCTTATTTTTGCCACGGTGTTGTCAGAGATCTTCGACTTGTAAGTTTTGATTATCCCCTTTGCATCTTTCGTCTCGTTATTAACGATGAATAATTACAAATATGGAAACTATAATGATAGTGCTATATATAAGGATATAAACAACGAGATAACTATTATATATGTTTCTGTAAAGCTACAAATGTACAATAATGACTGAAAGAAGAAAGTTTCAACTAAAATTCATATAAAACTCAAACATGCCCTATTTGAAATATACATCGCTTTGTAAACGCCTTTAGCTGTTTCATAAAATGGCCGCTGGTGGTAACATCAAAGACTTGTTAATATCGTTAACAATTGCATTCCAAAACATACGTTCACCTAAACCTTCTGTAAATATTAAATGTGGCGTTGTGTTAAGAAGTGTTCTGAGCCCACTTGTCATGTGTTTTGAGTCAATTTGACGATACATGATTAAGACTAACGCATTCATGCCTTGGCGACGTCTTCTTTCTAGAGCTAAGTTCACTTCCCATTGACACCATTCACTTTTGGCGAAATCATTAGACATAACAACGATAATTTTCCAACTTTTGTTCATAAATTTCTCAATATTATTTATGATTGGTTCTCCAACTTCGAAATCTCGATGGTGGATACAAATCTTTAATCCATTATCTTCCAATCTTTTTATCAAGTTACTATGAACCCATTGTCGATCGGAATCGCAATACACGACAAAAGCGTCAAAATCGAAATCGTTGCAAGACATCAGTTTCAAATAACCCTTTTTAATGCGGTGATGAACACGAACAAAATAAAGTAAGTTCTTAATGTTTATGTGACATCTATACAATATTAGCGCTAAGAAAAATACAAGTATCAAAACAGAGCAAACAGCTATTATAATAATGGATGTAAAATAACTAATTTCACATTCTGCATCAGTTGGTCTATAACTCGAAAGTGACGAATGCCTTAGATTCTCCGGATATGCACAAGAGTAATATGTAGGCCAATTTGGCATCTTTTTAGTAATGTTTGTTGATCGCAACTTATCTAAAAACCATCTTTGATCACATGTACACCAAAATGGATTGTTGGAAATTTCAAATGTTTCCAGTTTATTTAACATCATTGTTGGAAATGACGTCCTGTTTATAATGTGAATTTGATTTCCGTCCAAATGCAATTTTCGTAAGTTCGTCATATTGTTAAATGTAGATGGGTTCCATCTTGCTATTTTGTTGCCAATCAGAAATAACTTTTGCAAATAAGGCATATTTTGGAATAGTCCTTCAGGGATCGTTGCAATTCCAGTAGTTGCGATATTTAATGTTCTTAACTGTTTCAACGGGGAAAACATCGCCAGAGTATGTTGCGGTTCATGAGGCAAGTAATTCTTACTCAAATCCAATTTTTCCAAATTGTATGTGTTTATAAATAGGCCCCGGAAATAATTCAAATCATGGACGTGATCAAAGCGAAAACCGTTTTGGCTAAGTTGTAAACTGCGAAGGGAAGAACTGTTAAAAGTTTTTTGTCGAATAATTTCCATTCTTGGAATATGTGTAATAGATAATCTAATCAAACTGGGCAAGATAGAAAAACTGTTTTTCTTTAGCTCTTTCATTCTGTTTCCGTCGAGAATTAAACTTTGAAGACTTAATAAGCATTTAAATGAAGATGGCAAAATAAGTCTTATTGCATTGTCTGTAAGTATCAGTTTTTTTAACACCGGAGCCAGACTATGTTTTCCTGAATTGTCACAAAAATTTGGTACTTCGAAGATATTATTACCGGTCAAGTCAATTGATTCCACCTTCATCAATCCGTCTACCTTGAAATATGCTAAAGAGCACTCTACGCAAAAAAACTTTTTCAATCCAAATATTGGTTTAAATATTGAAGCATTCATTATTTCAAAATCATTTTCATTTAAGGACAATACTGTCAAGTTAGCTCCACTTAAATTATCAAGCAAATTACCCGGTAGTGAAGTCCAACCATTACTTTCTAAAATCAATTCGTTTAATAATGATACGTTCAAGCTTCCCAATGATGATTTAAAATTAAATACATCTAACTGACTTTCAAATGAAACTTCCAACGTCTGCAAATATCTAAGGTCTGAAAATGCATCGGTTGATATCGCTTGAATAGAATTATTCATCTTAAATGCTAATCGAATGATTTTGTTCGATGAAATATTTTGAAACGTTTGTCTGCTTATATAGGGTAAATAACTTATTCTTATTTCCAGAGCCAATACAGATTCCTTTAAACTAGGAATATATAAATGTAACCTTCTGCATTTTGCGACACGATTTTTACTATAGTACTGGCACATGTCGGTACCCTTTTCACTAATTTTATAGCTTTTTGCACGAAAGATGAATCCATTACATACATAAAATAACATAAGAAAAATCCTCTTCATATCCATCACTTGTACAAAAACAAAACAGTTGTGCAACGATCACTTTATCACAGTAATCTGAATGTAGTGCTTATATTTCCTTATTGAAATGCATAGTTTCAAGTATCTGTAAATGATTTTGATTAACAATATATTTTCGATTCCGGTCACATTTATTTTTTAATTGTTCAAATAATTTATTGAGACCAAAAGGATATCAAAAGCAATAACACCAATTGTTTGCCTTTTTTTTTATCGTGTTTCCCCCATTTCATTTCAAGTGCATGTATATTATCAATACATTATAAACATCTGTTAAAATATATCACGATGTTATATAATGCATGTTTGTTCTATTTCCCAATATTAAAATTAATTTAAAGATGCTTGTTTTTCTGATTGTCTTATTAATCTACAAAAATGTAAGAAAGGGTGTAAAATTCCTGTAAAATACATGCTCAGAGTACCAATGGCTAATATTGGATAACACTTTTTTTGGTTTTGAAGACTATATATTTTTATGTTTTGCTTACATACCCCTCATTAATTCTTCTTTTTTAAAAGATAAAGACTTTGATATTTTGGCTAATCTTTCTGATGAAATAGCAACTTATCAAGATAAAGGTGAAGTAATGATTTTAGGGGATTTTAAAACAAGGACAAGCAATCTTGAAGATTTAATAAGTAATAATGATGACGATTATAATGATTATGTCCCAGTACCTGAGGAGTATGAATCGGATAAAATAAAGCATACAGTCACGAGTGAGTAAGGATAATAAGTCCTGTTCCAGAGGTAAAGAATTCTATTGAATGGTAGAACATTTCGGGATTACCAAGGTAAATTTACATCTTACCAATATAATGATAATAGTGTAATTGACCTCTGTTTGGTATCTTAGGATTTTATAGAAAATGATTTGTATTTTCATGTTGATGATCCAATACTTAGATTGTCAGATCATGCAAAAGTTTCTGTAAGACTATTGGATTCCGTTCAAGTTAATTGTTTAAAAGAGAATTTGGATGATTTCCCTATGAAATTCAAATGGGAAACTATATCTCCAGAATTATTTTTTAATGCTCTTAAGTCTGAAGAGATAAAAGTCAAAATTCAAGATTTTAAAAATATTCAAACTCAGTCTCAAAGTGAAGTGGAAGCTGCATTGCATTCGTTACATGATATTTTAAAAATGACAGCAAATAAATCATTAAGAAGGAAAACAAAATCCAGACGTAACGGCATTAAGTCTAAGCCGTGGTTTGATAAGGGGTTAAGTAGTATGCGTAAAGAATTAGATCATAACAGTCAAATGCTAGCAAGATATCCAAAGGATCAAATTATACGAGGAAATTTCTTTAAATTTCTTAAATTATATGGTAAAAAATGTAAGTTACAGTATAGACAATATAAGCTGGATATAATTCAAAAGTTGGATAATTTATTCGAAAAAAACCCATCAAAATATTGGGAACTTTTAAACAAATTAAAATATTAAGATGAAAATAAATTGTCAAGTAATAGTATAATTTCAGCTGATGAGTGGTTTAAACATTTTCAAGAATTAAATACGGTCTCTTCAAAATATCAATCAAAAATACTAGAATTTAAAAATATGCTTTGTACATTAGAACAAAGAAAGACTTTTTATGAGCTTGATTATAAAATAACAGAGAAAAGAAAGAAGTGACAGAGGAAATACATGCATTAAAAAATGATAAATCTACTGGATTAGATTGCATTTCAAACGAAATGATCAAATGTAGTGAGTTAACTTTGCTTCCATGTTATGCAAAACTATTTAATATTATATTATGCACTGGTTTTTATCCAAAACATTGGAAAACAGGGTATATTATACCAATATTTAAATCAGGTTCAAAATATGACCCTTCTGATTATAGAGGTATTGCTGTTATAAAAGAGGGACGAAAGATACCAGAGGAACAGTCAAACTCATAGATCGAAAACAAACTGACAACGCCATGGCCAAAAATAAAAAGACAAACAGAGAAATAATAGTACAGATGACACAACATAGAAAACTAAAGACTAAGCAACACAAACCCCACCAAAAACTGGGGGTGATCTCGGGTGCTCCGGAAGGGTAAGCAGATCCTGCTCCACATGTGGCACCCGTCGTGTTTCTTATGTTATTACAAATCCGGTGAGCAGCAATCCTCTATCAAGGAAATCATGATAGGAAATACAAGCCCGGGAATATCGTATCAATTGGGAGATATATACTCCGTATGCAGGCGCTGCTGGAATGTTGCTACATAGAAATGGAAAGTTCACAATTGGGAAGCTGAAATCATCTCTTTTGTCGTAAAGTTTTGTTTTCAACCGACCCTCATTGTCAATTTCTAGATGTAAGTCAAGATATGAGGCAGACTTAACTGTATCTGTAGTATCCTTTATCTCTAGTTCGATGGGATAGATTCGTTCAACATAGTCACCAAATTTTGTATTATTTAGTGAGAGAACATCATCTATATAGCGGAACATAAAGTTAAAGGATATTGCTAACTTCTTATCTTTCTTCCTAAGAAGTTCCTTTTATGAAGTCAGCTTCATAATAATAAAGAAACAAGTCGGCAAGAAGAGGGGCACAATTGGTTCCCATAGGAATTCCGACAGTCTGTTAAAAACTCGTCCTCCAAACGTAACAAATATGTTGTCAATCAAGAAATCAAGCATCTTGATAATGTCAGTTTCAGATAATTTTTTGTTTGAATCAAAGTGATTCTTTACAAAGTAGGATTTATCCCTCCCCAAGACAAGATATACTTGTATCTACGTTCGCCATTCTTTTTAATGAAACAAAGTAATACCAACTCTTTCAACTTGTCTTTTAGTTTGGAATGGGGAATACTTGTGTAAAGTGTAGAAAAGTCAAATGTTTTAATACTATTGCAGGATGAGAGAGTCTTAGATTGAATGTACTCTAAAAGATCTTTGGAATTTTTTAGTATCCACATCTGATTCACGCCACCTCTAGAATAGGCAGTTTCACAATAACTTTGGAGCCCGGCTTTGATTGCTGATAAAATAGATGTTAATTAATTTAGAAAGAGGTTTCGTATAAGTTGTATTGGAAAATTGTTTAATTCCATTCTTAATAATAGATTCGATAATTATTTGACTTAGTTTAATGTAATTTCTGAATCACAGATTGGTTTTCAGAAAAAATCAAGAACAGTAGATCATATGTTTATCTTGAGGACCCTAATTGAAAAGTGTATAGCAAACAAAACTTACTTATACACATGTTTTGTAAATTTTAGGAAAGCTTTTGATTCTGTAGTTCATGAAGCCTTGTTGCTAAAACTCCAAAACATTGGGATAGGGGGTTATTTTTATAATATTATTAAGAACATGTATAATAATAATTGTTTAGATTAAATGATAGATTAACAGCTAAACTTAAAGCTAACATTGGAGTTAGACAAGGGGATAATCTAAGTCCCAATCTTTTCAAGATATTTGTCAATGATTTGCCGTGTATTTTTGATGATTACTGTGGACCAGCTGAAAAAGGAAGTACAAAACATAATTGTGTAATGTATGCCGATGATATTGTGCTTCTTTCTACTAGTCAAATAGGTTCTAGAAGTGTTTAAATAAATTAGAAGAATATTGTAAAAGTTGGTGTATTCAGGTTACTCTTAAGAAAAAACAATTGTAATTTTTAACAAAGGTGGTAAAATGATTAAAAGTAACTTCTATTTTAATGGTGAACCAATTGAGAATGTTAGAAATTATAAATATCTAGGTGTTATTTTTTCTGCTTCTGGAAGTTTTTCTACGGTTAGTCAATCTTGCCTGCTGATCATGGTTGTTGTTTACAATCTTTTTCTGTCTATCGAATAAAGATTGCTAAAAAAACTCTCACAACAATGAGTAAAAAATAAATAAAGGGTCGACTGACTTTTTCTTTTTAGCAATCTTGACCTTTTGTATATCTTGCTCTGCTGATCATTTTCGTCATTTACGCTTTCTTTTTATCAACTACTTTTGTAGATAAAAGCCAAAATTGACAAAAATTTTAAATATCATAAAAGGGCAATAACGTGTAAAATGAGTAGTATAACAGTTTTGGTTAAAATGGGCAGGTGGTAGATCCTGACATTCTGAACATTTCTGGGCCCGTCCGATTTTCTCTTATTTATAACGGTTTACAAGATAATAGATAATCCTATGTTTTCTTTTAACCTTGTCGGCATGTTGGATGGCACGAGGGATCATGAGACACATCTTACCAAACGATGAGTGTTGTCATGTTTGGTTCCAGATGATAAGCATTTTGTAAAAGATGATGCCAATCATACAGATGACGCACGCACGCTAGGTGATAAAAGAAGCTCACTTGACAATTTGGACCAGATGAGATAGAAAGGTTTAATGAATATAAATAAGACTTTCATAAGTTATGATAATGTAGAGAGTCAAAATTAGTGTATATAACAAAACTTGCAAAAATCTAGAAAAAAAATCGAATTTCCCTTCAACAGCTTGATCATTTTATTGCTTAAAGATTTATTAGAATATAGCAAAGTGTTTTTGGCCAATGAAATTGTATGATTTTGTGTTTCTTATTTGAGAAGAAGGCATGTTAATCATGTTCTTAGTATAAAACTTTCCTGTTGTTTACTTACATTTCAAAACTAAGCAATTTTCCAAAACTTGGTGTCATTATAGTTGGATAAGAAAATATTCGCTTTCTAAATTGAGTAAAGGTATCATCCTAATTGAAATATGAGATAAATCTCTGACACACATTTACAAAATTATTTACCCAAAATCTAAGTACTTATTTTACTGCACCAGATGCAAATGTAGAAAATTAATGTCTTTAGTGATGATCTAGGCCAAAATACATGAAAATCCAAAACTTATATAAATGTTGAAGAGGCTACAAATCCTTGATCTACCCGAAGAATAGATCAGCTATCAAGACTTGCCTCCCATTCACAATGGGTTTGACTAATTGAGGACTCTACACTAATTGAGAGAAAATGTCAGTTTGTATGGTTGTCCAAATTTTTTGTAAGCTATATTTTCATCAGATAACGGTAAAACAACCAAAATTCAAGTAAATTCCACCCAATTACGGAATGACAAAACTGTTTATCCAAATATATTGACTGAGATGATAGGTAATGGCTGCTCTTTAAAGTAGGGAGGTACTTTCGAGTGAACTTATTTATGAAGAAGTATATTGCCCAAGTTGATGACATTGAGACCATTGTTGGTAAAAGAAAGTTTTAGAATAGATTTTATCTCCGTTTCATTAATCAAACTACATGACGGTTCTACTGGTATTTTTACTTAACCTATAACAGAAATTTTTATATAACAACAGTTATCAATTAATTCCACCTTAGATGTTGTGATATCAACATCACCTTTTTTCATAAAAAAAAATGTGAAAATCACCGTGTATAAAAGCCTTAACAGGATTCTACACGTACCAATACAGATACAGATAAAGCCCTGACAAAACTGGAATAGACACTCTTAATTTCAATTCTTGCATGAAAGCTGGTTAATAGGGGATAAGGGTATGGTTTTCTGCAATTTCAATAAAACATCTTTAAAGAGAACAAGGATTGTCTAATTTATTATATGTTAAGTAATTACAGAGTTATATATTTAATGCTGAAAAAATGTCTCTAGTACTATTTTAATTCTTCAACCAAATATGCAACACAGTATGTGTGTTTGTCATTTTCAAATAAATAAATGATTTTAATCACAAGTACACTGATATGTGTATCAAAATTGCACTACTGTTATATGTGTAATTCATATATAAATAATTTAATAGGTATTTATACAAGACAGCTACAGTAACAGTTTTAAACTAATCTTCCAAAATAATAAATAATAAATGGTGCATATCATATTACAAAAAGTCCAATCCGTTAGCACTTGGATATAATAATAAATACTTAAGCAATGTTCTCCATTATAAAATTCTGATTATAATTGCACCCTGAGCATATTTAAATGAATATCACAACACCATCATTCTCTTACATCAAGACTATAGCTAGGACTTGGTATAGATAGGATTACCATGTTTCAGATATATATCTATACTCTATAATTCAAATATTAAGGCCATATCCACCAATTTGTTAATTTAGATGTGTTATCTTCATTTAATATAATTTTAATAAAAAAAATTGTTTGGGGTGTTAAATATAGCAAAGTATAAACATTATAATTATCTTTTTTAATTTAATGTGACAGCAAGAAAGCAATAATATTATTGTACAAAAAACAAAAACAATACATTTGTAAGTATATATTGATAGTTTATTGGAATATACATTTTCCCATGGAAAACATGTTTAAAGCCATGACCAATATCTTAAAAAACAAGAAATAAAAAAGACTACCTTTAGAAATTTGTATTTTTGATACTCAGTTGAGACCTTATTGAAGTAATTTATTGTATACCTAGTATACATTTTCTAGAAATTCATAAAAATATTAGGCACACAAATATAGGCTACAATGGTAATGACATATAAAAGGAAATATTTGGAAGGTTTGGTGGATTTACCACATGGGCTGATTTACCATACTCCACTGTATAAGTAATCCTATTTTGAAGTTCAGAGAAGTGTGGCAAAGAAGTGGTTAATAATTAGAAGTGGAATGTGCCATTTGCCACTCTATCCATTGTTTTTGCTTCATTTGAAGATTTATTTTAATGAAAATGTGTCCTAGAGGAAAGAATGTACTATATTGTATCCTTTGAAACTGGTGGATAGGCTCTTTTTTTTTAAATATAACACTTTTAATTTATCTAAAATTAGTATGCATGACTACCATTATTTCAAAAACATAATGACTAGAAAGTCTTATTTATATATTTTTATAGTTAGAGCTCTTCCAAGAATCATGTTGTTGGTGGGTCTCTTCCAAGAATCATGTGGTTGGTGGGTTTCTTTCCAATGTATTCTGAACCAGATAAAACTTTTCATTTATTTCCTGTAAATGGTTTAATAAATTTATCAGAGACCATCACCTATCAAGATTACAAGATTTTAAGAATTGCTGTCCTCTTTTTCTTGGAAAAGCCCATAGATAAAATGAGACAGTACAAATGCAACAGAGTAATCATCATTAGAGTCAAAGAAGTCTACAACACTATATACTACTGGAATATTATCTTCTAAATTTTAATGTTTCATTAAGCTAGTGCTCCCATGGGATCCCAGGCAGGTAAAACAACTGGTGTTTGTTTGAGTACATCTACTATATCTGATGTTAGATGTTTCTTATCTACCACAACTTCATAGACAAACTCGGAAAACCAGTTATCTGACATTGCTATGTAGCCTGAAAAGAAAAAAAAGATTATCATTTAAAAAACAAAAAGTGAAAGTTGGAAACTGGTTACATAAATGAAAAACAAAAATAGAGAGATTGTTAATGGTAAATTCACTACATATAAAAGGTGAAACACCAAAAACTACAAAAGACAAAACAATAAAAGGTAAATTACAGAAAATGGTGGTCCAATATGTCGATCTCAAAAGACATTATCAAGGGTTGTAGAAATAAGAATAAAAATGTCAGATTACGTATAAAGATCAAGTGAGGACTGGCTAAGATGCTAACAGTATCTCTTTTCACAAAGAGTCTGATAACAAGAATTGATTGTCAGTTATACTGTATTGTTTATGGCTCATACGTAATTTTCCTTGTTTCTCGTAAGCTTTATTGTAAATATGACTACTGCTCAAGGCAAAAGTAGTATTATTCTGATGTAGATGATTCATTAAGAAAGCTGACATCTAATTTTGTAAAGAAAATATCTTGTATATATTCCTCTATTATTGACCTCATAGTTAAGCTTTATATAAATGATAACTGCTAGTATGAAAACAAGTAAGTGAAAGTCTTTTTTATAAATGTTCCATTAGTGGAACATTTTTTTACATTTTTTCAAATGAAACTGGCCTTCTAAATTCACCTTGAAATCTGTTATATCTCTTTTCTTTCTTAATTTCTGATAACTCAAAATATTTAAGACTCATTTTTAATGAGTAATTCCACTTTGCGGGTGAAGTCCATTAAGCTTTTGATATAAGTTACAAAGTCCATTATCCTGGTTGTTACATGGATTATGTTGTGTGTGACGTGAATTCAGAAATTTTTGCATGCATTTATCATAGCAATTGTTGAACTATGGTAAAAGTGCAGGATTTATTTTTGTAAAATCAGGAAATCCTGCATATGAATAATGCTATCATAGTTCAAAACGCAAGTTTTTACTTTACCGAGACCTATCCAATTGCAATTTTTGCAAAATTAACAACATTACAAACATTTTTAAATATATAGTAGTCAATTATGGAGCATTAAGTGATAATCTATTCTACCTTTATCTCCATCAGCATCACCCCAGGAATTTTCTACTCTCCACCTGGTAGCCTTAACTTCTGACCCCTGAAAAAAACAAAGAGATGACTTAGATGCAAAATTAGTTAGTGTTAAATAGCTGGCACAAAAATTCAAATATATATGCTTATACATAATTTACCCTAGTAATTCAGTAAAATATGCAAAAGGCCTATTGAATTTGAAAAGCAGGTCATGTTATATTTTAAATTGATTCTATTTAATGAAACTGAATTATCCCCTTATTGACGTCAAGATTTTATAACCCTTTGAGTTTGTTTAATAAAGAAGCCTCCATATAACCTTTACCAGAAGTAGGTCCAACATACATTGTTTTAGAGGAATATAATCTCCATATCTTTTTTACTTTTAGATATTTTGTACTCAAATTTCTGAATATTTGCTATAAATACATAAAAATGATCATACTATAACTAAAATTTTCAATAAAATACTAACTGATAAACAGATATTTGCTTAATAATTTTGATGCAAAATGGAAACTTCAGCCATAATATGTAGTACTATATAAGAACATTTTAATGACTTTGAACTGCATAAAAAGTACATTTTAATACCTTTGATAGTTTTGATATTTTGTGGCATAGTCAGTGAAATTTTAGTTACCAGTTTGCTTATTTCATCCTATATGTGCTTAATGTTTGACTGGAGTATAGAAATATGATTATCCATTGGTCTTTTTCTGATTGGCAGTAAAACCCATGCCAAAGTGGGGTGTCGGTTTAGTTGTGCAGGATGCATAAATTGGCAGCCACATCTGGTTAGAATGGGGATGTAAAATTGATGTCTAGTGTAGAGAGCTCCTGAGTGCCACACTATCTAAACCTCTTCGACCCTTACAACAACTCTTTGAGGGGTCCATAGGTTGCCTATTGCAAGGCTGGATTTATGTCCTTATCCAATATATCCTCTTTTTCAACTGGCATTCTACAGTTCCCGCCTGTAATTGCAGTCAGTCCCTATTGCAGGACCTACCTATTGTATTTATTGTTAATTTGGGCTTGTCCTGCACATGCATAAAAAATTTACCTCTGGGTGTTAAGCAAACAACAATCAATTAACCATCAATCTTAATGTATTGAAGCATACTATGTTTGATTGAATAATTGATGCTTGCTTAACATTCAGGAGCAAATATTTTATGCATATTGGGGACAAGAGCAAATTAAAAACTAATACAATATTTAGGTTCTGCAAGGGAGGTCCACTGGGATGAAAGACAGAAAATTTGGGCTGCCACTGGAAAATGAGGGTTTGTTGGATCGGGGCAGAAATCTTGCCTTGCAACAAGATAACTACAGACCAGACCATCAGAGATTTGTTGATAGAGAGCTTTAATATGCAGGGAGCATGGCACTTACTCTACATTTGGTATCAGATTAACTTCATTATTCCAACCTGATGAGGATGTGTACTTATACGTCGTACTAAGCCATACAGACTCAAAGTTTAACCAAGGGTCAGTAGTTAGAACAGTAGAAGTCCAGGGACGAAAATATTTCATACCCAATTAAACCTTTAAGGTTGTATTTTGCTAAAATGAGCTTTCTTGCTATTTGGAATAAAAAAGTTTTTTGGACACACTGCTGGTTCAATTAAATAGTTTTTGAGCAAATAAATTAAAACCTTGTAACTGAAAATGTTTAGTAGGTGTAAAACGTTTTTATAGAAAGGTGAATAATTATTATTTATTTCTTTAGAACCTGCTTTGCGTTTTATATTTTAAAGGTTAAGTTACAAAAATGTGATGACATTTCTCAATTTAGCTAGACAATAGGTCAAACCTCTTCAACTTGTGCAGCAGTAATAGTCATTGCATGAGTCATCAAAGATTCTCCATAGATCAGTCTATCTGCCTTAGACATGCCCAGCATGTTGGTACCAAAAACCAAATCTAAATCTAATCTGAAATAAGAAGTCAATTCTGCCTGACATATATTCCAACAATAAAAAGGACACCAAATACATGGAAGGGTTCATCAGAACATTTTTTTTCTTTTTTGAAATGCATCACAATTTCTTAAACAAGGGCCTTTTACAGCTTACTATACAGTATGGATTTTGCTCATTGTTGAAGACCAAAATGTAAGTTGTAATTGTTCACATCTTTGTCATTTGTACTTTAAAGATGGATAGTTGTCACATTGAAAATTATAGCACATCTTCTCGATTTTACTTGTGGTTAACATGTATTATTTTGATTTCAATAGGACATTGATATAAAGTAAGAAACCAATTAGGCAATTTCAGGCTTTTATATGCAAACACAATTTTGGACTCTGGCAATACAAATTTAAAATAAAAATTGCAAGAAAGTGCTTCACTTACAGTCCGTGTAACGTAAAAGTTAACAATACGAACGATGCCCGAATCATGTACGGACGATGCCCGAACGATGTACGTACGCTTCCCGAACGGTGTACGAATGCAAACGAAACGCTGACCGAACGTTGTACGGACGCTGAACGAATGATGTACGAACGAAACCATGTACCATAAACCATACCATAAACGATAACATAAGCGCCCTTTTATCATACATCGTATGGTTTTGCGTATACATCGTTTCATTTAGCGTATACCGTATCGTTTAGCGTAAATCGTTTCGTTTAGCGTATACCGTATCGTTTAGCGTACATGGTTTCTTGGCGTGCATAGTTTCGTTTAGCGTATATGTTTTTTAAATATAAAACATGAATTGTGTTCTAATAAATCTTTTTATATAGGTGATAATAGGCGTAAAATTTAGATTGGATGCATGTTTCAGTTTTTAATTAATAATTTAATAAATTATAATTTAATCTGACTCGATGTTGATCCAAAATTATTTACATAAAAAGTTTGAAAAATAAGCACTGATATAAATTTTAAAAAATTAAAAGATACGATTATGAATTTTGTAAGCCGAAGAAATACGTACTTGGTGAATGTACGAGTAAACTGCAGTCTGTAGGGTATTCAGTCAACATTTATTGAAAATAGCCTAAGGTATTAACATTTTTTTTTACCTAAATGAACAATTTATTTTAGATGGAATTCGGAATTAATCTAATGTTCTTACAAAAGTATATTCGGGGTCTTAAGTTTGACCTTTTGTTCAAAAGGTTTGTTAAATAATTTTTATGTATTCTCTTTTATCGTAGTATTAAAATCGACTAAATAGCAGTTTTATCTATACATCGTAATTAAACCATTTTTTTTAAATTATAGATTTTTTTTATTCACCTATCAAATCAGTCGAAAAAAACAAATATTCGAGAAATTTCAAATAAAAACAATAACTCGCTATTTACAATCGATTATGTATTATTTTAACTATAAATGCATTTGACTTCAAACAATCATCAACAATTGTCCGGCAAAAAACTAGACCATTTCCCTCTATTCTTTAATTTTCTTATACCATTTTCATCTGTTCATTATTTTGCCCGTTATACTCTAATTGTATATATTTTTTTCTTTATTTTCCTGAATGTCCACATAATAATACTTCTAATAGTTGCCACTGGACATTAAACAGCTAGCTATAGATTCATCCGTCATATTCTTAGTTTTGTTATAATGTGTAAATGAAACAACATGATGAAACAATAATTATTGCAGATTTTCACTGCCGAAATAATGGGAAAAACTACTAAATCACATCCCTACGCCACAAAGTCTAGCCTTTTCACATGTAAATAAATTATTTTGATAAATCTATTTCAAAATAATTTTCAATCAAACGGTCATTTTTTTATTTGCCAAAAAAAAAACCCAACATCAAACAGTTATTTTCATTTCTTATTTTAAACAGACCGATTGTTTTTCAATGGTCGGTGCTTGACAGCATTTATAAAATCTATCACCATGTTTGGCAGCAAGAAAGCTACATAGAAAAGGAAAACAACAATGTCTAAGAAATACTTCCAGGCCCTATTTTCCAATTTCTGTTGTAATGTGGTTTAATGCAAAAAAGGTAACTCCTGAATACTAATCTGTACCCCTCAAGCATATGGGGTTAATAATAAATCTAGGGTAGTCTCTTTTTCTTTACTCGCAAATTATTCGACAAAAACATGTTCTATTTATAAAAATTGCTCATTGCTGACGAATGTTAAATATTGATCCCTAGATTTTCAATTGTTTAGTTGTTAGGTTACTGTCTGATCTCGCAAACCTGACAGTTTATGGTCATTATTTTTTGCATCCAACTGCACCAATTTATTAAAAAGATATTAACGCGACAACGTACGAGAGTCTTTACTTTACATAAACTACTAGTATTTTTTTCTATAACGAAATACGAAACCACTTCTCGCAATTCGCTTTGTGGTAATTGTGCTTCTCTTTTGACAAAATATGACCTTGTCTCAAACACAAAAAGTATAATATAATATAGAGTAATACATAAAACTGGACTAGAGTGAAGAGTTGGGAAGTAGGAATTCCGAATTTAAATTGAATGTTCTAAATCTTTGTGTATTTCTGATATATGATTGTACAGACTCAAAAATTTCTTTGTTTTGCTGAAATGAAAGTTCACCATCACCAGCCAATAGAAGCAAAATTGATATAGTAGATTTTTCTAATTTTGAAAACAATATTTCTCTTGCTTCGTTGATAAAAGGGCACTTAAAAAATAGTGAATACTATCCTCAACAGGGTGGCTACAGCTGCATGCGGGATTGGGTTTAATGTTAATAAGGTTTACATCTGCAATTGAAGAACTGCACCATATTTTTCAACTGTGTATCAATGATATTAAGATTTCTATCACCACAACTAAAATAGGAAGTGTGTACTGTGAATAAAGACTCAGTTTACTATTTTTACAGAAATTTATCACATTTAATACCACGTTAACAATTAGGGTGACGGTGTTTGACAGTCTGAAGGAGACAGCATCAATGATTTAATAAGGCAAAGTTTTAGTTGTACTCAATCTTACGAAAGTTTTCTTTATTATATCTAATAGATATATATATCCGAGATACGATTATGTAGTTTTCTTTTTTATCTTACACCTGATCATCTATGATGAGATAATGTCTAATGAGAGAATTTAACCAGAGACTGAATAACGTAGAAATGACCAATTAAAGGTAACTGTACGGCCTTCAACAATGAGCAAAATCCATACAGCATAGGCTCCGAAATGACAAATGTAAAATAAATACACCCAACACTGTTCAAACATCACCGCACGTCAAACTTTGAACAACAGAAAAACCTGATTTGACATTCGTGACAATTTGTCACGCCCTCATGACATTGGCGTACGTCCTATCAAATACCTTCAGAAAGCTTCCATTGAAATTATTTTACACACAAGTAACTGTGTATTTTATTTTCTTAATAAAAACCAAAATGGATTTTGCGTTAAATGTGCAATGAAGCCACGATTCGTAATCTTCAAAAATAGTTCAGAAATGGTTGAAAAAATGTGGAATGTCTGAATAAAAATATAACAATTATGTCCAGTACGCGTTTATAAAACGGGCTCTATTTGGACATAATAAGATACTCTAAGTTCTTGTTTTATGTGTATAGAATTTTAGAGGTCAATACGACTTTTAATCAGTTGGATTCTCAATTTTAATTATAAAAAATGTGTTGGGGTTTTCTTCTTTTCTTTAAATTTATATCATGATTCTTTGATATTTCTCATTATCTTCTGAGTATTTTTTAAGATGAGTAATTCAAAATTTGTATACCAAACATTTAAAATTTTACTCTGCGTTTATAAATAGCATTGAAAGTACAACATAAACGATAAACAATGATAGAGGTAAATGAGCCACTCTTTCTCATGTTGCGAGATGGAATACGTTCGTTACTTGATTTAATGAGTTTAACAATCGAAACTCCTGAAATATCGTCTCATGACAAGCACGAGAAATGGCGAAACTGAACTTCCAACAGCGGACAATGATTTCTAATTATACAATATTCTTTCAATAGACTTTTTAAATGCAATGTAGAACTTATCAATTAAGACATTTCTTATTCCTTTTGAAATTTCTTAATCGAATATGAAGTCACACGCACAAAGAAGTTTGTCTGACGTGAAAATACGTAATATGCGTAAGTCCCATATCTCATGGCTACATGGACACACACAGTGTACTTATCTTAATAATATATTTATGTTTGAAAGAAGACATTTTAACCAATAAGCATTTCTAAATTAAGTCGACACGCAGCTCATTTATGAAGAAATGTCAAACTGTAACTACTGCTGGTTTGTACTTTATTGTCGGAGGACAACTGATTCAAAATAAGGAAGCTACCATTTGATTTTGAGGGGGCTAGGGGCTTGGGGCTAGTATGAAATTTGAAGAAAAAAATGCATGGTAGCTCCCTAATGTTGATTTCGAAAACGAGCTTTCTAACCGCAGAGAAAAAGTCAATTGTAAGTCGGTGTGAATTTATCCACTTCCAACACATGACCACAAGCTGAGTGAGGAGACTTTCTTGCTATAAGACGGCTAGGACTATGTTCGACCTTGTCGTCTTATTTTTAAATTACGTCCTTGATGATCTGATCATTACAACGTTTTTACAAATATTCGTTCCCGTGAAAACCAAGTTTTGTTTAACTTTCAAATTTCATCGAAGTCTCTTCTCAAGATATAACGGCCATCTGTATGTTGGCTTTAAAGTCGGCAAGATAACAGGTCAATGTATCCAAGTGAATTTTAGATTTGTTGCAATTCTAAAGTACAATGGGTAAATCAGTCTTGTCTTTGATGTGCCACATGGAAATCCCTATAAAGTAAGACAGTCCATGCGTGACCCATGGCATTAGATATGTTATGCATTTCATTGTATATTTTCTATCACAATCCAGGCCAGCTAATAACCTATATTATTTACGTGTCTGAAGACGAATTTGTATAAAACATTGTGTTATATTTTAATTT